AATGTGTGGCTGATAAGTTATTTCTTTTGATAACAAGTTACATTGCAGTTATTACAGGATCTTTATTCTCAATTAATTAGATTTTGATTATTCTTCCCGATCATTTCTAAGGGATTATCCTGAAAAGGAATCTTACCAGCTAATGCTGATGGTCTGGCCATCATCAATTCTTTTCTCCTGCATCACTTGCATTGATTCCCTGGAGCTTATATATTGACCTGAAATGCTTCGAAGCAGCGATTAGTTTCCCATGATATAAGAGGCTAGATAAATATTTCCATAAACTTTAATACTGAGGTATTCTTTACAATTCTTTAACTACTTTATTTATGATCTCAACTAATTCTTCTCTATTTTTTACATTCTAGAGTATCAAAGACTGCATTACAAAAAGTAATAAAATGAGAGATTTCAGATTAATAACAAAGATATTAATTTTAAAAATATTTACCAAATGTTATTTCACTTGTTTTCTATTTCGCCATAATTATAACTTGAGTGTCGAATTTATGAGGGTATTCGGAAAAGCCTTACCTCGAGCATTTCTCGCCATTCGCTGGTCTCGCCCATCAATAAAGGACTCTTTTATTGTTCAGTTCGGCATTATACGTCCAAGCGACCGAATTGTTGTTTGATTTCTTCAAACATAACAAAAATATCCAATTCCTTGCTCCAGTCATTTCTAAAAATAAAATTATTTAGCCACCTAGTCCGATATAAAAGATTCCTTTAAAACTAAAATTTACTGATACGGGGTTTCAGCTGAGGAAACTCAGATTTTCCAAATCTGCGTTGAGAAAGAGATTTTATGCCAAAAATGTTCTGAAACGGAAAGAAGACGACTGGGCTTGTATACTATTCTCAGATGAAAGTAGGTTCAGTCTCTCGTCTGATTGTGGACGACAACTGATGTGGCATGAGAGTGATGCTGCATATAGTCCGGCAAATATACACGAAAGGAACCGATATCCTACATGTAGTGTCATAGTATAGGCTGGGATCATGATTAGTAGCCATACGTTGCTCTATGTGCTTCCATCTGGGACTATGAATGGCCATCGATACATTAATGATGTTCTGCTGCCTCATGTTCGTAATGTTCCGTGCTGCTGTTGGTAATAGATTTGTTTTCATGGATGACAATGCAGAATGTCATAGAACAGTCACTGTTGAGAAGTGTCTAGAGATCGGAAATATTCAACACCTCGTATGGCCAGCATGTTATCCAGATCTGAATCTCACTGAAAATGCTTGAGATGCTTTGGGGAGTCTTAATAGTATTTTTGAGTCTTAATAGTCGTAATTCCTTTCAATAAAAAAGGACGTTTATTTTCATTGGTTATTTTCTTACCAGCGTTTTTGTTACTCGGGACTCGGGGTTCTTGTTTTCCATGGCTAATTTAATATCGTCATTTACAATTAATGCTGCCGGGTTGCTGGGTGCCACCGTTTTTGGATTTCAACTCAAACGGCATCATAAGACAGCATCTGTCAGGTGAGTCGGGCTGCGACTATCAAGCACCCTACATGGTGGTCATATCCCACATTGGCATCTTACGTCAGAATATTTGCTGACGGTAATTGCATTTTTATCACTTTCATGAATTAAGTACAAAATGACCATTTTGTCCCTTGAACACTCCAAAGTCTTCTGGATTTCCGAGCACAATACATTATCTTTATTGCTATGTCCTAATATTCTGGTATTATTTTACTTCACTTGGCATCGAACCATACTTATTTTTTATTTGCTATATAGCCGTTTGTTATTCATCCTTTGCTGTCCAGTAGTGTATATTGCCTTAATTTCTTAGACATATTTCAACGCATATATATATATACTTTCTTAAAGACGTCACAAAAAATTCTAAGCCGTATGTATATTCTAGGCCTTGGATTTGACCAGCTCCTAGTAGCAATGAACGGTTAGAGATTTAATAGTTACTAGAAGTCCTAAAATTTTCTTGAATTCGAATCCTGAAACGTTTCTCGAATCTTTCCAATCTTAAATCTCTCGAATTCTTTAAATAAGAATAGGAATAAGAAGGAAAAGCGCTTTTACATATGTTTGTATGTGTATGAAAAGCGCTTTTACGTTTAATGCGTGTTGATCAAATCAACACGTATTAAACGTTTTTGAAAATAAGCATAATTTGAAATCTCCGTTTAATAAAAAACAAATGTAAGAATAAAGTTTTAAAATTACATACATACAAATTAAATTAGTATATGAAGAATCCAACCGAGACTCTTGAATCCTAAGATACATTTTCTGAACATAATTTGATAAAATTATTTAAGTAACAATTCAAATTTCAATTAAAATTCAATATCAATGCTGAATGGTAGTTGTGATGAAAATATACTCAATTCCAGACTTTATATACATGTTATTAGAATAAAATATTCTAATGGCATTCAATAAGATTGCAGACGTGACATCATCACAACATATTGCAAATACATTTTTCTTTTCTGCTGTCGTGATAGCTCTTATCTGTTCTAAAGGTGTAACACGGTAAGAAAATCACTGACTATTAAAAATTCATGTTGTGGTATTGTTTCTGCTTCAAATTGGATTGATGCTTCAGAGACAAAACTATTGTTTGTTACTACGTGAGCGGTATTTAAGTACTGAATATGTCAGAACAAATCAGTTCTATAATCACAATAAGTAAAAGTCCACTTATTTGTCAAATAACTCATACTTTCGACATACTTCAATATCTACTGAGCAATGAAAACAACATTTAAAAACTCATAATGCTTGTGGTGGATTTACAAGCATCGTTAGAAAATATTGAACAACATAGTAGAAGTTATATCTGAAAATTACTACAGTCTTACAATCGACGCTGCACCTAATGTTTCAGATATTTTTCAACTAATAACTCTCTTGAGATATGTGTTCCTATGAACGATTATATAAAAGAAGAATATAACTGACTGGAATATCTAACGTCATGTTTGGAATAATAAGTATCATTTATTTTAGCAAAATTAAGTATGGAAATTAAACTGTATCGAGGGAAAATATGTGATAATGCAGCATACCTACTAGAAAGTTACCAGGATTACAGGTGAATATTAAATACCATGGTTAGAACGTGACCTGAGCCAAACTCCCAGCATTCAGAGGTTAAAAACCTCTGAATGCTGGGAGTTCTCGGCCACTGGGAGGTTGGCTCAGTACCAAGCAAATACGTTAGTTACATGTTTTTTTGCCATGTGTAACGTGAATACGATTCAATTTTCCTTACAGTGTCTTCCACGAAAGCCTTCTTTTATATGCTTCACTGTAAAGCCCTCCTCTATTTTGCCGCTTTCAAACAAGCTAATCGAACACGACCTACGTCTCTATGATATTCACTCTTTAAATCTGGACAGCAGTTTTGCTGCAGACAATTGTAATCCTGCCTTCTAGTAGTTTATATTTGTGCAAACATTATATGCATCTTTTATCTGCATCGTCGCATCGCTGGACAATTTTGAGTAGGAAACTGGGGAGTTGTGAAAGTACTTGAATAGTAAAATGTATATATATACAATGAAATTTAAAATAAATTTAATTCATATTAAAAGTGCTTATTTAGCCAAAATGCTAAGAATTTCAATATGAAGTTAAACGTGATAAACAATGCAAACTAAGCATAACTCCTTTAAAGGTCAATACAGAATAAATTTGATAAAATTTTAAATTATGGATAATTAGAAAATTAAGTAAAAAATGAAAATAATTAAACTGAAAAGATAATGAAAAAGTGAAGCAAATTGGGTAAAAGAAATCTCTTGTCTGTTAAGCAAATACAATTTAAAATGAGTAAAAAGAAATATATATATATATATACATTACGCTCATAGTAATGCATACCCTGTAAAAATTAATTACAGTGATATAAAAGAAGCTTTATTCAACATCTGAGTTTTAGGTTTCGTGGGGAAGGATAAATATAATAGAAGCTAAATTTTTATTTAAAAAAATGAGAAAATATGAAAGAGTAATCACGAGAATATTTTGGAACACTATTTTCACAAAAATAAATTCCACTAGAAAATCACTGAAATTCAGTAAAATGTAGATGAACATGACATTAAAATCATCGGAAAATTTCATAATACGATTTCATCAATAATATTTTATTAGAAGAAGAAGCAACTGCTAAGACATCTTTAACAAGCGAAAAAATTCAAGCTCTCAGGCCACAAAATGGCAAATTTTTGCAGACTGAACTAAATCGTTTCCGCCAAGAGAATTAACCATTTAAGTTTAAAAATATTATTCAAAACTAATTAAAAATATAAAATCTTAAGATGCAAAAGATCCAGATTTCAGTTTAATATGTAAAATAGTTTTATTCTAAGTAGTTGCTATAGGCCTTCTGGTTTAAGAATTAATTCCCGGAAACAAATGGCATAGAATTTAAAATGCTACATTCAAAATGATCTGTATAATATAGCAAAAGCAAATCATGAAAAAAATTTTAATACGATCTTCCCGTAGCAATTACATGCCACATGTAGTACATACTGCTTTTGCGAATAAATTTGCGAAGTACTTGCTATAGATGTGAGTGATTAGTAAACAACAGTAAGGGTGCCAGTTTCAGTGACTTAAGTTTTTTAAGATACTTAGCACCAAATTAATACTTGTTTTAGTCATTTTGTATTGATTTTTGTGCTGTTTCTAATTCAATTAGTTGTTTTGTCGAAAGTATCTAGCTTTTGTTGATTCTGTTTGAGTTTAATCAGTTATTTAGACCAACATTACAATGTTAGTATCATCATTAACTACTTTAAACAGCAGTATTTCTCTTAACTGTTAAAAATTCAATATTAAAAGATGGATATGGCAAAAATTTGTTACACTTAGATTTAAAAATAAAATATTATTTTTTAAATTCTCAATTGATCATTATGAGAATTATCAATAATGATCTATTGGAAAATGTTGCTCTAACTTATTAACAAAGTAAGTAAAATTTCATTAAAAATTTGTTTACGTATTACCAAAATATTTTATTATTCTTTTTTCTAATGTCATATTATACTGAAATCGTATGCTTGTCTCTTTCTAAACATATTTAATATATTCAAAATATAACAGTGTTCTAGATCCACTATGATAAACAGAAGCAGATGAATGCACTTCAGAAGCTTCAAACAATTTTTAGTTTAGTAGCATGAGGTTGCCCAACGGGTTCCACTATAATATCGTTCACTTCCACATGGGGAGAAGTTGACAGAATATAAACAATGGCATCGGCAATGTCATTCGGCTGCAAACATTTCACAGAACCGAAAAGAGAGGCAACTTTTTCCTCATCATTTTTGAAAAAAGTGTGCACAAACTGTGTTTCCACGAAACCAGGACTTATACTCTGCAAAAGAAAGATAACAAAAAGGTCAGAAACAAAGAGCTTGAAATGAGTATCACTATATATGGAGTTACCCATTGAAACATATTCAAATTTCATTTGCAAATCAGGATTCATTTGCGATTAAATAAAAAACTTGATAAAAATTATTTGTCTGATAAGAATCTGAAAAAATAGCATGTATTTCTAAATAAGTAATATTTTGCTGTCAAAAGTTCGAAAAATTGAAAACCCATGAGTAAACAAAATTTAAAATACATTTATTAATATGTCTACGACAGTAGAATCTCTCTTAGCTGGCAATAACGGGACTTCAATGATTTTGGATAAGAGATTTTCCCTTATAATTGCATATATATATATACATTAAGTTGCCCATAAGCCCTTGCTTTTTTTAAGATTAGGTTTCCAAAAAAAAAATAAATAAATAAAATAAACAAGAAATGAACAAAAAAAAAAAAAAAAAAAAAAAAATCAATCAATAATATATTCTCCGTTGGTCTTAACAACTTCTTCTCAACGTTCAACAAGCTGTTCAATGGCTCGACGGCAGAAATCACAGTCTTTGGATAATCATTAAACCAATTTTGAGTCTTTAACCAATTTTCAGCCGTCCTGAGATGCATCGCTTCTTCGCCATACACTTCACAAATGTCTCGAGCAGCTTCTGTGGCTTTGGCACCTCGATTAAACGCAAAAAGCAGAAGGTTGAAGAATTTTTTGGTCGCCTTGAGACTTCACTTTAATGACAAGAAACAAAAAAGTATATCAGCGTAAAGGAAAAAAAAAAAAAAAAAAAAAAAAAAAAAAAAAAAAAAAACCTAAGCACACGATTTTGTAGATTCGATGTTATTCGATAGAGCATTATATGCTCTATCGAATAACATAAAAAGCATCATGAAAACATTTTATTTTTCACGCAAAACTTTCACTTGAAAAAACGCGCCAGGACTTATGGGCCAACCTAATATATATATATACGTAGGTATATTTCTAGAACGTATCTGGCCATATTTTGTGATGCCATCTAAGAAATTGCAGAAATTACGTTGGCAGATATAAACATAACACCAAGACTTTCCACATTTAAACTTCCCGATTGTTAGTCAATTACATATTTTATTTATCTCACAGGCTTAATAAACCATATAAAAGAAAAAGGCTACAATCTCCTTTTCTTGTGAGCCACTACATCAGGCGATTTTCGGCCTTCTCTAATTAAGCTCAGCATTTGACAAGTAAGTAAGTATATGGATAAGTAACAAATGCTAAAACATTTATCATCAACTAGTGGCATATAGCTACACAGCTTCCATGTTTCTATGCCTTGCAGGAAGCCAAGGAATCCTAATATGCATTTTTTGTGCTAATTTAACAAAAGCTTCATATCGGGATAGATTCTAAACTCAGAAATGTTTACTCTAAAGAAAGTTCAGTTACTGAAACCAAATTTAAATGCTACAGTAACTGGCCGGATACACTGGGCAAACACATAATAAAATCGACAGAAAAATTTACTACAACTTATTCCAAAAAATTAGCCGACGAGATGGGAAAGTGATTAATGACTCTGACTGCCGTACTGAAGGGCCTAGGGTCGAATCTTGGAGAAGGAATGGATGTAAATTGTCTCTTCCTGCATAGGAAGTAAAGATGTTCGCTGTCAGCTGCCTTACATAATAAAATAAAAGCTACTTCTGGCCTTAGTAGTGGCGAAAGACTAAAATGGCTGGTACCAGCCATTACAAAAAATATCCAAAAATTTTTATGCATTTCCACATTAATTTTGTTCCCTTGTTCTCTTACCGGACAATATAGTACATTGGTCAGCAACCCCGGTCAGCGGGCTAATATGGCCCTTGAGTGACTTTCACACGGTCCGCCAAATGATCTGACAAAAATCAAACACCTGACAAAAATGATCTAGTAAAGATAATTAGATACTAATTAAATTCAGTTTAGCACCGGAAAAGTTATTCGCACCATTTCTTCCCAAAGTTTTTCATTCAACACATTTCTTACAATTGGCGCAGGTGTTATTCCTCCTTAGGTGTTGCCAAGTTTCCTTTATTGCGTCAATGATGGTTGAGACACAGCGACGAGATGAGGTGAGAAGCTCAGTTATAACTTAAGTTTTTTACTTGATGGGAAAACAATTTTTCTAGTTGATATCCGTATTCGATAATAATGTTTTATGTGTGATAAATTGTATTAATTATCGCTATAACTAAGCCAATTCGGACTAAAAATTTAGTAACAATCCTGAAAGAGAAGTATAAAATTTTTTGTTTGGTTCCTTTCTACAACCCTTTCTTCTGAGTAAAAACACGCGCATGAAAACTAGGAAAAGGAAAGCGGAATTGGAAAGCCGAACTTAATGATTGGACGGATAGTTATCTTTTTTATTGAGCTCAATGCGATACGTGTTTGCTTAATTTATCAAGAAAGCATTGGGTCCTCAACCCATACAATATCAAAATCCTCTTTCTGACAGTGATAGGGAAAATGGTAACAAACGGAGCCATCATATGGACTCAGTGGAGTAGCGAGCATAACTGGTGCACGGGGCAACATACCTTTTTGGCGCCTCTCCTTCCCCGAAAAAAAAAAAACACAGTGATATAATGAAAATCTTGTTTGGAGACCATTTGGCGCCCCTCTGCGAGCAGCGCCCGGGGCATCATACACCCCTCGCTACGCTACTGTATGGACCCTTCCTATGACTAAAAGTAAGAAGAAAATCCTAACTTCCATTCACACATAATTCAACCTGTGCGTCACTCGCGGTTACCGCACAACGTCTAACCGCAGCACTGAATATCCTTGCTGGCACCACTCCTTTCCACCTACGAGCAATTCACGTAGCCATCTACTTCCCAGTCCTGCAACTCAAAATAATATCTCGTTTGAAGACCAGATTATTACAGCAAAAGAATATGAATCCTATCCTGTATCTTAGAGCAGAAATCCAGCCGAACTTCACAACAAAATTAAATTCATCAATAATAAGATCCTCACCCCATAGAATGCAATCATCAGTTATACTGACGGTTCCATGATTCAAGAAAACTTCGGCTGTGCAGTTCATATTTCTGGTTAGAATACAATTCAGAGTTCAAAAAACTGAATAGGCCACCACAACTCATTTAACAGCATCCGAGATGAATTATGTGCAATTAAAGCAGTAATACAGTTAGCCAGCCTTCTTTATAAACAGATTTTATATATGAAATCTGACAACCAAGCTGCCATATTCTCCATATTAAATCCAGATAATCCATCCCCCATACCATTTGAAATCATCAATCATCCAAGAACTTAACAAACCCCAACATCTCCCTCTCTTGGATCAAAAGACATAATAATGATGTGGCTGATGACCCGGCAGACAAACTAGCCAAGAAAGCCTCTCAAAATCAAGAAAAAACTCTCTTATCAGTCAGACTCTCAAAATCTCATCTTCCAAATATTATTAATAATACAATACATGATATCTGGCAGCAGGAATGGGAAGTGCCCTCAGAGAACACAGACTCTAAGCCTTTTACCTAAATGTCGTCACAACTAGAAATATCCAGTCTCACCACACTCAGTACGTAGCAGGACACGGACCGTTTCCTGAATATTTAATGAAGAGGCATATCAGCGACAGATAAATGCTTATGCGGAGATCACGGTTACGTTAATCACTATGCTTTCAGTTATCAACTAACTCAAGAACTTCGTCTACGCCATACATCTTCAATACCCCAGCATTCAAAAGTCCTCTAACCTCACAACGCAACTTCAACCAAAAGAAAAAAAAAAAAAAAAAACTGACAAAGTTAACTAATAAGGAACAGAAATTTGGTCAAACTTCTCCCGAAACCGCAGACTTATGACGCAGATCTTAACAAAGCAACATGAATAGAACCTACGTACCTCAATAACCAAATGGGTTCAAATAAGAGCCCAACAAACTATGGATTGATTAACCTTCCAGTACGCGCGTATGCGCAAAATTTACGACAAATTAATGTTTATCATCAAATGACAAATTAATGTTTTTAATCAGTTTTTAATGCACATTTTTCGTATATCGAAGCTGAAACGTCTGAAGATCATTTCTATACCTCCTTTCTACCCTGCCCCACATCATGGAATGTGCCAACGGGAAGTCATTTGACTTTTTTTAGCTGGGCTTTTGTGCTACGGGGCAGGTTTTTCATAAAAGTTGCGACACGCGCGAGGTCGTGTTTTAAAATTCGGAAAATATTTTTTTCAAATATTTTGTAATTTTGTATTATTAATTGCCGTGTATTATTTTAATTTGAATATATTTGGCTCTGTAAATTGTATATCGGTCTTCATGGCAAAAAAATATGTGCAACCAGCTGATTTTGCTCGGATTCTTCAAGAATATCTGATGAAGAAAAGGAAGACAAGAAAACCTTTTGGATGGGAGAACAATAGCGATTTCCATCCTTGTTTTCTTCATTCCTTATTCTTTAATCTAATAAATTAGAATAAGAAAATATAGGAATGGAAGAAAAGGAAACAAATAAAACCATTAAAGTTTATTTCTTTTTTTCTCTTCCATTTTAGAAATAAATAAATATTTAATTTAAAGTGCGTTTTTGTAACCAGTAAAAAGTAAATTTCCTTGCAGAAGTAAGTAATGCTAAACTTACTTTTTTTCCTATCAAGGTGTTTTCCTTTTTTATTGTCTATACTTGTCTTTGATGAATATTAAAATTAGCTTCGATTTTAAAACATGATTATTAAATAACAAATTTCAAAATTTCTATAATGAAATACATCAATGCATTTTCATCTCACTAACATAAGAACTTAAAAATAATTTACTTATATTTGAATGTGATATCATTTGTATTTTGCAATAATAAGATTAATATTTTATTTCTTATCAATATTCACTCATTTCTGTCATTTTTCGCGCTCAAAACGGTAAAATAACGGATATCGTAAAAAATATGATGCGCGCGTGCTCATGTAAAATTGCCAAGCGCGCGTGCTGGAGGGTTAATGAACTTAAAAACTAAAAAACTACTGAACAATGAACTCAGAGCCCAAGAGCTCTATACCAAGATTAAGTGATACTAGCAATCGGATCACAGTACATCTCCATAGCACGACAGGACATTTCTAAAAAACAAAAGCACTAAGTTCCTGCAATTACCACATCCATTTATCATGTACCTAAAATCAGCATAACTAAATCCCAATAAGAAAAATGTATTTTATCATTTATGTACAGTTATAATTTAAGGTATCTTATTTTATTTAATAGATATTTCAGATTTTTTAACTATTATTTCCTGACTGAAGTCAAATATATCTTACGAATTATCTGAATCATATGTATAATAGGTACGTTCAATACTTCAAATAATGTTTATAAAGTTATGTAATCAAGTACACAGTGTACTTTGAGTAATAATCAAATATTATAGTCTTTCGCCCCATAAAAATAGCTGGAGCGCGAAACGTGGTCTCATCCGATAAATCACAAGTTTAAACGCCTAGTACCTCAAAATTTCAAGTTTCGCCCAACAAGATGCTTGCGAGACCCCTGGAATGGTATTCCTTCTACATGGTAAGTGTGAGGGGAAAATGCTTGTAAAATCTCATAGTGGAATTCTGGAATCCCCCACATTTTTACCTGTCACCTATCATTTGCCGTGTAGAAAGTTTCAAATATTAAACTACACTATGAATCTCGCCACAATAAGTACAACAATTTTAGAGGAAAAATAACAGAAACTGAAGTTGCATGGCTGAGAAATCTCTTCTCTAGAAAAGTTACAGGATTACACCTGATCTGGTAATGCTACTTTAATCTTGTAGCCGTAACAGATGTTAAGTGAATTATCGCTATGTTTGAGACAGGCTGACAAAGTCCTAGGAAGATTATTAACAAAAAAAAAAAAAAAAAATTAAACTGGATTTTGAATGTCACGATTTGTGCTACAATAACCACAGCTTGTGGAAATGCAAATTAAAATGTAAGAACAGTGAATAAATTTAAACGCTTAGCAGCAGTTTAAGATTACACAATTAATTAATAGTCATAAACTAGCTCAATAACTTTACCAGCGCATCAGATTTAAAGAATCGGTAGTGAGAGACCACAGAGCCGAATAATTACAGCTGCTGGAGCTAGCAGGTATTAATTACTATTGTGGCAAATAGCGCACAAATGCCGACCAGAAACTCTCTGTCTCTCAAGGTCTAAAAGTTTCAGCTTAAATACTCAATCAACTAATTTGCATTCTAGTGAGGAATGCGGAAAGGAGAAGTTATAATAAATACCGAAATAGTAACTGGTTAATGAAAATAAGATCCTTTACAAAGTTAAAGAAAGTAAATGAAACATTCGTGCTAGCTACGAGGTGTCAAAACTAATTCCAGACAGAATGAAACAATTTACCAATGGATAATCTTTAAAAAAATTATTATTGAATGTAGCTGATGCTTTTGTCCAGAGAGAGAGAGAGAGAAAAAAGAAAAAAAACTTTTTTCGATCGTTTCATCAACAAGAGCAGTAACAAGGTGAATTGAAAAGATGTCAGCAAATACCAGAAGATCGAAGAATTAACAGAAGTGGTTTGGAGGGCATTTTGAATAATCTGAGTATTATTTCATTTCTAGTGGTGAAAGCATATATTTGAAGGAGAGTTATCAACTTGCAGTGTTTATGAGGGGTGTAACATTAACTTTTGATATCATAGAAGAATTTGTACAGTTGGTTCCTGTGATGGACTCTAGCACTGCAGTAGATATTTTTCAAAACAATTTTTAAATAATTAAACGGATTACCGAAATGAATCTTCATTTACCAAAGCTTTCTAGAGCAATCCCAGATGGAGTATCTACAATGGTTGGAGTGGAAAGAGAGTTTGTTGATTTGTTCCAAAACATACCGATATTGATAAAAAAAACGCATCAAACTCCATTGCATTATTCATTTGGAAGAATTATGTGCAAAATCTCTGAATTTTAAGAAAACCATAGCAGTGGTTATACAAGTAGAAACAGTGAGTTTTATTCTGTCAGGAGGACTAAAACACCATCAAGTCCAAGAATTTCTAATAGAATATCATCCGTATTCTTCATCCATCTAAACAATTTTTAAAAGTAAAGAAGTTTAATTGTATGAAAAAATAAATTACGAGTAGTAGACAAACTTATGTTATTAAATACTCATATCATTTTCCTTTAATTTTTGTAGCTTCTTCACCTTCGATTAGATTTAAAACTAGCTTTTTTTTAATTTCTTTTTTTACAAGTAAATTGTCTTTTACTACATTTGACCTTTTGTTAACCAAGATAAAAATTGATAATTTATTAGACTTAAATACTAAACGTAAATGTAAATTTAGTTCTTGGAAAAGATATCTCAGACTAGTCTGATAAGAAATATAAAAACATTATGAAATAAAAGCTCATAGTCCTGATAAGATTTTATTATGCTGCAAAAAACCTCAAACATAATTTGAAAAGAGTAGAAAAACTTACTCCTATTCTTATATGACTGTTCAATTCTTTCACTTCTCTTCGCAATCCTTCCGTCAGCGCTCGTACCATGAATTTGGTTCCACAATAAAAGTGAATACCAGGATACGCAGTAGTTATTTGATATCCGTAAATGCTAAGTGAAGAAAAGACATTACAAAAAATGGAAGAATTTTAATATTAAATAAATGTACAATGCAAGTATTTTGTTTTAGCCTAGGCAGATAAAATCATTACACTTAATAAAACAGGGTTTCGAAAAAGATATATTTATTTCTCTAAACACTAAAAGTAGATATTTAATTTTAAAGTTTCTTAAAGTAAGGTAAAGAATTTTTTGAAGATTATGGATTAGCAATTAGAGAAAGAGAAATTCCAAGTAGGTACGTGAGAATATCGTATTCATATTTAGATGCAACTGTATTTGAAGAAAAGATAACATTCATGTAAATTTTCTTATCAATAATATCAATTTACAGGAAAGTAAAATAATTATGTCTAAAACGACTACACCTTTTCACGCAAACGAGCAATTGAAATATCAGCACAGAAGAAGGGTAAAATAACCCTTTATTAATTCCAACTAATACCAGAAAGGCACGATCTTTATGCTTTAAAATAACACCGTCAACTTGCGGTGAAACTTAAACGTAGAATATAAATCAATTCAAAAGTCTAATTAAAATAGTGCTGAATTAGCAAGCTAAATATGGCTAACTTAGGTTGACTCAACAAAACCTAACAGGCGTGACAATTATCCGAAATGGCCAAAGGGCGTAGCAGCAAAATAGCTACGAACGTGCGCTGGCTAGCGAAAACACGCTCTGAATAAACTCAAAGATTCACCCAATTAAGTAGTTACTTCACTTAACTTTAAATTTACATCCTGGTTAGAAAATGCGAGGAGAAGTTGAGGCGTTCAGGAAAAGTATCAAACTTAAAATAATTTGTTGTGCAAAATAACGGAAACCTTACAAGAGTTAAACGTTTAGTTAAACGAGTGTTTCCAATTTCGCGTAACACGACCAGACTTAGACCAGAAAACTATATAAATTTAAAGGCAAGCTAAAGGGTTTAAAAAGGCAGAAGTTTAACAGTGGCCTAACGAAACTTTTGTTGTATCATCGCTGTTTTACCAGGAACCACTTCTTGTTGATTCTGTTGAAGGCCACCTAGCTACTGTTGTGCTTAGAGACGCTGACCGCCGAGCCAATGGGCCGGGGCTCAAATCTCTATGAAGGCATGCATATTTGTAAGTGTATAGTGCAAGGGCTGTAAGGAAAGGGGCCTTTCGAGAGGCTTATAGTAGAGGAAGAAGATTGGATACCCGGATATCTTCGGACATTTCCGCGCCCGGGAGGTTCTTCCACAAAATTGAGGCATGTATAACCAACGGTGAATTCTGGTGCCCCGTCCACTTGCACCTGTTCCAGGACGCTTATTCTACGATCGCTGACCCCTCGACTACTTGCGCGAACAACATTGACTCGAAAAAAACCGGTGTCTTCTTCCGCGGTCAACTTATCGGAGAAAACCATTCTGTGTTCCTCGGTTGACACGCGGCTGAGTCCACTTGACTGTATTGAGAGGGGACAAGGTTTCGAGGAGCTTTAGACCAATCACAGCACAGAGAAGTGACGCAATTTATAGCGCGCGCCGGCTGAATTTCTACGAATGTTCTCCCATCATTTCGCTCTCACACCGCATTTGTAGTTGGGAAAAAAAAAAAAAAAAACGGCACTAAAAAGTATAATGACTAAAACGCAGCAGAATATGCTGCTTTGTTGCATTGAAGAAAATCCCATTTTTTTTTAGAGGAAAGTTGACTCAGGACTTCACGGCTAAGAATAAAAGAGAGATGTGGGACGTGATTGCGTACAATCTAAACGCACAAGGAGGATGTACCAAAACAACAGAAAAATGCATAAGAGTAAGTGAAATAAGCTTACTTAAAATCTTTTTTAAAAAGAGGCAATTTTAAATATTTAAATTTATAATCTGATTAATTTGCATTGCAATCTAACTGCAAACTTTTTTTTTTTTTTTTTTTTCCATATACACAATTAAACTGCTATTTCTGTTCAAGTTATTTATTTACAGTTAATATCAGAAAAATATTTCTTTCTTCTAGCTTTTATTTTCTTTTTCTAAGAAAATTATTTATTTATGTAAAAGAAATAAAATTTATTTGCTCCTTACAGTATGCTGCTGCATTTAGCTATTACAAATGTATTAAAATATTTTATTTTAAATAATTTATCTTATAATTAACATGATAGAAAATAATTTTTCAATATAAAATATGTAACCAAAATTATAATCATCTATTCTATATAAGTGAATTATTTGTATTGTAATTTTTGTCATTACTAATATGCATATATCAATAATACTTTTTTTAAATATTACTTTACTGTTATTTTAATTTCTTATACATATATAAGAACTGCTTGTTTTAAATATTCTTCCTTCTCAAAATAATTTAATTCTGTGAAAGCAATTAAAAGGTAGTAATATTCTTTTCACATTGGAAGTACTAAAGTAACAACAATAAACATAGACCTCCTACAGTTCAAGAAATTCCTTGTCAAATTCTTTAAAACTATTCATGTAAATGTATGCATTCATGTTGACTCTACTTACTTTAGTATGTCCAACATTAGTTCTTTATTTTATTCTATTCTTCATGTAAATGTATGCATTCATGTTGACTCTACTTACTTTAGTATGTCCAACATTAGTTCTTTATTTTATTCTATTCTTCATGTAAATGTATGCATTCATGTTGACTCTACTTACTTTAGTATGTCCAACATTAGTTCTTTATTTTATTCTATTCTTCATGTAAATGTATGCATTCATGTTGACTCTACTTACTTTAGTATGTCCAACATTAGTTCTTTATTTTATTGTAATTAGACATGGATTGATTGGAAATGTTCCGTGAAAAAGAAGGCAGCCGAAATAACAGTTTCACAAAAAAAAAACTGGAGGAGGACCACCTTGTGCAAAGGAATTGAGCGATCTAGAAAAAAGATTGCTGAATTTAATAGGAAGTACCTCCGTTGAAGGAATGGAAGGCATCGATGACCCTGCCAGTGAAGAAGAATCTGTAAGTGTTTTAAATTCTGTTTAATAACATTATGTTGTTAGGTAAATATTGCTATGTGTTTAATCAACAAATGATTTGAGTAAAAAAAAAAAAAAAAAAAAACAGTTTGCAGTTAGATTGCAATGCAAATTAATCATATTATAAATTTAAATATTTAAAATTGCCTCTTTTTAAAAAAGATTTTAAATAAGCTTATTTCACTTACTCTTATCCATTTTTCTGTTGTTTTGGTGCATCCTCCTTGTGCATTTAGATTGTACGCAATCACGTCCCACATCTCTCTTTTTTTCTTAGCCGTGAAGTCCTGAGACAACTTTCCTCTAAAAAAAATGGGATTTTCTTCCATGTAACAAAGCAGCATATTCTGCTGCGTTTTAGTCATTATACTTTTCAGTGCCATTTTTTTTTCCCAACTACAAATGCGGTGTGAGAGCGAAATGATGGGAGAACGTTCGTAGAAATTCAGCCGGCGCGCGCTACAAATTGCGTCAATTCTCTGTGCTGTGATTGGTCTAAAGCTCCTCGAAACCTTGTCCCCTCTCAATACAGTCAAGTGGACTCAGCCGCGTGTCAACCGAGGAACACAGAATGGTTTTCTCCGATAAGTTGACCGCGGAAGAAGACACCGGTTTTTTTCGAGTCAATGTTGTTCGCGCAAGTAGTCGAGGGGTCAGCGATCGTAGAATAAGCGTCCTGGGGCCAAATTAGCTATGCCGTTGTTAAATTTAATTTAAGAGATTCGTTTCAGCACAGATAGACCACGTGTTTATCTTGGAATTAGGTCACTCTTACATATATCCGACATCTATTTACAGGGCAAGGCAACCTCATCTTTGTATTAATTCACGTACGACAAATCATTGTTTTTATCTTATACTCTAATGAAATACATTCCGATGACCTCATTGATCACGTGACTTATGTATATCTTTTGTAAACAAACAATGCAGATGAGCTCAGAGATCACGTGACTTATGTACAGTTAATGCAAACAAGCAAAGTCATTCTTCCTCTTCTTCTCCTGCGGAATATACCTCATTTAATTTTTTATTTGAAAACTACTAGAACTAATTTTAACTTTTATTTGGATTTTACTCTGAATTGTTTGTGCTTATAGTTCATACTTGCAGACAGACGGTATTCATTAAAATTTACCAACTTAATAACACTATCAAATCAGAAATTAAATTATTAAATTTCGCCAACAAAACGTGCGATTCGCTTGCTTTTTTAGAGTTTGCATACTTTATTTAATCTTTAGACGAAAGTGTGCTTGTCGTATGTGTAACTGTAATTGTATTTGCACGTATTTTGTGCATAAAAATCACGAACAGTTTTGTTAAAGCATATCTCAATAACTGAATTTTGTTATATGGAGACAGCAGAAAAAGAAAAAAAAATCTTATTGAGAAAACTTTCCTTTTATCATTCTTCTGCTTCATTTTAAGAGATTTTATCAACTAGCAATAAGAGCCTAGACTTAATATTAAGGAAATGCGAATAGTGGGGCAGTTTTGTATCTCCCGTTCTACTGGGCCGATTGACGAAATTCAAACTGCGTTTTTCATGTCTCGAAAGCGTGATTTAGGCTATAAATTGGATTTATATATAGCATTGTTCTAACATAAGTATTCTGACGCAAAATCGGACTTTTTATGAAATAACATACCAATTTATTTTCATATTTCGATTCTACGACTCAAGTTATGCCTAAGTACCAAGTTTTGTAGAAATCGCACCAGTAGTTTTTAAAAAAATAGTTCTCAAAATGTTAGCTTTTCCATGTTAATCAGATTTGGTATATATTTATTAATATCTCTTTTTTTTATTAAATTTATTTGATTCTTCCTTTCACATTTCGAAATTTAGGTTCATTCTAAATAAAATTAGCCCATTATTTATGATTTATTTTTAAAATTTGTATTTTTAAATATTTTTTATAAATTTTTCGAAAAAAAACTTTGGATTATAATCTATAAAATTTTTGCAAGTCACCTTAAAGTAGATATATTTCTAAGCATACCAGCTAAAAATTAGAGCTTTTTATTCAAAGTTTTCAAAGATATACGAGAATTTATATATTGGCGCGTTTTGAAATGAGGCATATTCATTATAAGCGACAATAAGTCAAATATGCTTTACGCACTTTGTTAAATATATTTGAAAGAATGAACCGCGCCTTTTTTTTTCGCTTGTGCACAATGAAAAAAGGGAAAGGAAAATAAGTTGCTGTATATTAAGAAGTTCACCAAGTGAATTTTTCTTGGCGCAAACTGAAAAAAATGTGCCAAGATAATTTTTTTAATTTCTTATAAAAAATTACAAAATTTAATATGTAGGCATCATTTGAGTCGTATGAAAAAAAAATGGTATGTTATTTTAGAAAAAGATTGAAGATTAGATTATTTTAGAAAAAGATTAAGAAAAAGATTAGATTATTGAAGAAAAAGAAAGAAGATTGGAGACCCGGATACCTTCGGACCCGGATATGTCCGATTTTGCGTCCAAAATACCTACGTTAGAATATTGTTATACATAAAACTAATATATATCCTAAGTTGTGTTTCGAGATATGAAAGTTGAATTTCGTCAATCGATCCAGTAGAACGGGAGATGTAGAACTGTCTCCCCCCCCTTTTTTTGCGCAGTGTACATAATGAATGAGATACATTCCGCAAGAAGAGGAAGAATGACCTTGCTTGTTTGCATTAGCTGCACATAAGTCACGTGATCTCTGAGGTCATCTGCATTGTTTGTTTATAAAAGGTATACATAAATCACGTGATCAATGAGGTCATCGGAATGTATCTCATTTGAATTTAAAAATACTAAACACGTGACCACCTTTTTCAAACTACCCAGTTTTATAGTAAATAATTTAAGAAATACATGAATACAGTAAATATAATTTAAGAAATACAACTTAACATTCTTTATTTCATTAGCTCACATAATGTTTGATATTTCACAACAAGTTACATTTGCAACTTTCTTATTAAAAATATGCGAGTGTACTTAAAAATAAAATTGTATAAAATAATTCTGCAAAGATGAAGCTCCAATGAGAACTACATCTACGAAAAAAAATAGTAATAAAATGGCAGTGATCATTATGGACTAGTTAATAAAATTTTTTTAAACTTCAGATGATAGTCTACGAAATGTAAAAATTCTGTAACAATTCGATGCAGAATGCAGAGATAATCAACTACTAATTACGTATTTCACATTATACCTAAGAAATAAATTGGAAAGATAGTCGCAACAGAAGTCAAAGAAATGCATTAGAAGTTTTGTAATGAAGAAAAAGAACATGAAACAAATCCAAGATGAATCTCAAACGAATTTTGATTCTGATTTGCAGTTAAAACTGTTTCGCTTTTTTGTTGTTAAAAGATATTGTAGAATACGCGAATAATAATTGTCCGCGAATATCTAGAAGTGATCTGTTATTCTTCACGTCCATTATTTAAGTGATTTTCTAAAAGGATTGTTACCTGCTAATGTTGATGATCTGGCCATCGTCAATTCCTTTTTCCCTCATCAACTTTATGGATTCTCTAGAGCAAATACAAAGAGCTAGTACATTTACCTGAAACAATAAAATCTGCAAATGAAGGACTTTGAGAAGGATACTATTTTCCAATAACATAAAAGGATCAATATTATTATTCTTCAAATTTTACTTGGAATACATATTTTTAAAACTTATTAAATGCTTTCATTTATATTCTCAGTCATGTTTTCATATTCTACAGTAGAAATGGTTAATAAAAATTGATCAAGAAGCAAACTACAAATGCCTCATGAGAAAAATTTAAAAATTTAGAAAGCATTTTTATGATTAGTTTGTAGAGTCATTAAGTTAACTGGAAGCAGAAAAGATGGGCTGTAATTTGTTAAAAAAAAGTCTGAACGCTTTCAGATTTTACATTACGCCCAAAGGGGCGTTTTTTTTTTTCATTTAAACATACATACACGTTTCGTAGGCATTTTGGCTAACTCCTCTTTTGACTAAAAATCTTTAAAAACGATATATATCTTTAGATTTCTGATAAACACTCTCGCACGATGGAGATAAAAATATTTCATTCTGTACAATGTATTGCCAATGCTCGCTTTGAAATGGTTGAGTTTTTAATAAACAATTCGTTAAAGTTTAAAAAATATAAAATTGATAATAAAACAAATTCCAAATTTCAAATTTTGGCTTCCAAGTGCCCGGAGAACTATTTTACTCAAAATCTGATGGCTCTAGGTATCGTTGTTTTTTCACAGTGCAAGAAACATACATACATTCATGCAGAATCTTCATTATTTAATTTCTTTAAATATAATACTGAGCAATAATACTTCGTGGCAACAACTTGAAAAGAGATACAGCCGTTATAGTGATTCGACGTAAAATGATGTTTGATCTTCTAAGTTTGATCGAAATTTATGCGGACTTTGATTTAACACTACAAATCATTTTAAGCTAAACAGTTGTGAAAGGCTGATTGGTTTAAGAATAAGCCTCCTATAAATTAAATAATCAAAACATGAAGTCTTATATTTAAAATTAACTGTTCAAAATGGTAGGAAAAAAACTGCTATGGTATTATTTCAGCTTAACACCATGTATAGACTTGCGAAAAGACTTAACCATTCGTGATGCAGCTGTGTGTTTATTTCAGTTCCATCGGTTGTGCATGTGACTTGCAACAAATATATCTTCCAAATTGTAATACTTTCCATTCTTCCAATACACGAATGGAAAGTATTAAGCATTTCGAAGAGGCCCCTTTGAGATGCTTCATAACTAACGCTAAATCTTAGTGCATTGGTGCATTTAATTACGGCAAAGCACACTAGGGCTATCTGCCTAAGGGGAGGGATGCCTTTCGTTGAGGACTTTCTAAGGGAAACTGGCTCGTATACACGTTACACATGGGGAAAACCACGAAAACACCCATGCAGCCAGCCCGTTCGAGGGATTCGAACCTCGGACCGAACTACCAGTGTTCAGCGACTTTACCGCTCGGCCGCTGGTGGGCTACCGCTAAATCTTGAAACAAATGATTTTAGCATGTCAAATGCTTCTGATGAGCCAAGGGATTTTATAAATTACTCTTACTTCATTAACTTAAGTTACCTATTTAATATAATATTTCCTTCATTATTTACAGCTTACTCGAAAATATTTTCTTTTAGCCCAAAGAGGCGGTATCCCATAAGGTTAACAGGCTCAAAACAGCATTTTGTGGCGTGTTACTATAAACGGCGAATCACTTTTTAAATTGTTGCTACCAAACATTATCGCCCTGTACGATATTTTAAAAAAATTAGACAATGAAGAATCTGCATGAATGTATGTATGTATGTCTCTCGCATTAAAAGAAAAACGACGGAACCTAGAGCCATCAAATTTTGAATAACGTAATCCTCCTCCCGAACATGGACACCTGGAAGCCCGAATTTGGGATTTGGAATTTGTTTTATTACCAATTTCATGGTCTGTAAACCTTTAATGAATTTTTGATTAAGAAACTCAAGCGAGCAGTGGCAAACACTGTGCGGGGAAAAAAAAATTATCTCCAGTGCGCGAGGCTGCCTGTGAAAATTTCTAAAGATACACTGTTTTTAAATATTTTTTTCAAAAATATTTAAAAACAGTGTATCTTTAGATTTTTCTGGTATTGCTGTTGAATTGAATTTTATGTGGCTATGTGCGAAGAACATGATATTTAATAAGGTAGCACACAAAACGTTAAAAAACGCCCCTTTGGACGTAACCATAAAACCTGAAACTTTCAGATTTTTTAAAATTATTTGTTTGTTTATAACTGATTAAGGAAGCTTTTTTTTTTACTTTTTTTTTTAAAGTTTAGTAAATATAACGTTTAGTTATAGTTTAGTAAGTATTAGCATAGTTTAGTAAGTATTAGTAGTTTAGAAAGTTAGTTTATAGTTTAGTAAGTATAAAGTTTTAAGTATAAAATTCAAGTTATGATAAAGTATTTTCGTCACAAGGAAGTAAATTATATGCCTACTCTCTTGCTGTTAGCCATTTTCCTTTAAAAAAATTACGTAGTTGAGTATTCCCCCCCCCTCTTCACATTGTTAATTTTTCCCAAAGGGATTAGTGTCTGCCGAAATCAGAGAAATGATAAGAATTCTTGAACTAAAATATGAACTGATACTGAAAATCATAAAAGTAACGTAAAAAAAAGTAGTTTAAGAATGTAGTCAAAGAAACAATTATTGTTTTCTAATAATATCAGTTTCAAAATTAAAAAAAAAAAAAAAAAAAAAAAAAAAAAAAAAAAAAAAAAAAAAATCTGAAAGCTTTTAGATTTTACACACTTTTTTAACTCTTTGTGTGTTACCTCTATTTATTATATATCATGTTCTTCGCACATAAACCATAAAATTTCTTTGAAGAAAACAATTTTCTTCAAAATGCTTTCTTCTGAACTATGAAAAGTGGCTAATAATCTTATTTGCAACAATTTACAACTCTGTGCACCACCAGGGATGACTACTGCCCTGACACTTAAATAAATGTCTTCTATCGTCAGCCTGGCAGATGGGAAACATCATCGTGAAAACGCACGGCTTAATTATTGTGACTAATCAAAATTTAAGGAATACAGGACATACAAGGTTCATACAAGACAAGGTTCATAACATGTAAGATACATAATGCATATATACCAGGTTCACTACATAAATATACAAGGTTCGGGTGGGTACATTCATTGTGTAAATTAATACCCTCATTGCTTGTTTTCTTATACTATTTACTTGCTAATTACATGAAACATTATGCAGTCCATGTTTACATTTCAATTACAGAGATATATAATTTGAACGACAAATTTATATGGATATTCAGAAAGGACTTACATCAAGTATCTGTCGCCATTCACTGGTCTCACCCGTCAATAATGGGCTGTTATGACTCAGGCCGGCATTATTAATGCATACGTCCAACCGCCCGAACTGCTGTCTGATTTCCTGAAACATATCGAGGATATCCGATTCCTTACTCAGATCGCATCTAAAAATAAAAGAATTCATTCGTCCAATCTAATATGACAGATTCTTTTATTAATTAAAATTAATTATTACTAAAAGCGGAACCGATCCTAAATTTTCGTGTAACCCAATTCTAAAATATTCTCGAATCCTTCTAATAAAAAAAGAAGAGAGAGGAAAAAGATTTTTTACTTCTAATAATGCTAATAAATCTTAAAATAAATATATCTTATAAATCCCTAAATGGTCTGAATCAATAATATATTAAATAAATAAAAGTGGAAAAGTGAAACATTAACTTCGTAATGCTAGAATAAAAATCACAATTTAATTTTCGAAGCACAAAACTATTGCTTGAACTATTTCGCCTCACAATTTGGATTTCTTTGAAACTTCTGAAGTTTTCCTGCAGAGCAATTTCGTTGATGACTCAACTTCCATCTCCTTTTTTTGTAGGAAATGTTGAAAAACCGAGATTCACTTCTATTTTTTTTAACAATATGCTCTACAACTTCCGGTCCAAACACTGCACTTCTAGCATCGTGTTCCCTAAAGTAAATAATAATGCTTTGATAACATTGGTTTAAGCTCCAATGAAACCAGCGACAAATTATTGTTTATTTGTGCGCTAATTATTATGCTGATTTTTTTCTTCATTTAATGATTCAAATTTTCTCTCTTTAAATAACTAAATCCTCCAGCGCCCTTACAACAGTTCAAATCCCATTTCCGATCGCAGAACATGATAGGCAATTATCATCAAAATACTTTCTTCTGAACTATGATAAGTGGCTAATAATCTGTCTTATTTGCAACAATTTACAAGACTGGGCACCACCAGGGATGACAACTGCTCTGAGATTTAGGTAAATGACTTCTAGTGTAGCGTCATCCTGGCAGATGGGAAACCTCAGCGTGTAAATGGATGACGTAATTATTCTGACTAATCAAGATTTACGGAATACAGGACATACATAAATACACAAGGTTCGTAACATGTAAGATACATAATATATATACACTAGTTTCACTACATAAATATATAAGGTTCTGGTAGGTACATTCATTGTGGTTAAACTAATACCCCCATTCCTTGTTTTCATATACTACTTACTTGATAATTACACGAGTTTTAATGATTTCGATGCGCGTCCATATGTACCCAATAATCCTGATTAATATTATGTACATGATGTGATTGAATTCAAGCAAAAGTGGGAAACATTATGCAGTCCATATTTACAGTTCTTAGAGATATGTATAATTAAAGTAATTAAAAAACTTTCATTGTCTTAAGTTCTTTATGTTTTTACCACACTGAAAACAAAGGCCCTTTCGAGTAGGTCAACAAACTAAAAAGAAATAAGGATTACCAGGTAAAATTACTGAAAGTAGGTTCCTGGAGAACTTGCGTTTGACAGGTATTGAAGAGATTTTTTTTTTATTACAGTTTTATAGCTTAATAGCTGACGAATACAGTAAGAAGTCTCACGTGATGGTTTACAATACTGTTGTGTGGAGGCAAGATCATTAGGTTTCCCTCTTTTACACTGACTGTTGTTGGCAAAATCCTAGGAATAGTAGGCAAATCTTAGAATTTAAAGTTAGAATTATTTTTTTTTCTAGTACAGAAAAAGAAAGAAAGTAATGGAGTAATTATCCAAAAAAAAAAAAAAAAATGTCAAGCAAGAACCAAAGAACCAAGCAGAATCTCATTGCTAGGCAACACTTGGAGATAGGGCCAGAACCAATGCAATCAGTGCGACCACACTGGGCGGCGTAAAACCTAGCCATAGCTCATAGCGCGGACTATAGCAACGACATCGAAGCGTATGGCCAGAGCCTTATATAATTCAAAGATTTCAAAATTACATTTTATGAGAAGTGATGAAAAACTGACTTCATTTTCGGGTGGGCGAATTATTTTCTTTGGCTTTCTAATAATATCACTTTAAAAGAAAAAGCTGGAAAATTTACCTTCCCCCACCTTGTCAAAAATGTAAGATTATCAAATTTTTTCCCTTGCTAACAATGCATTTTATTCAGTATAAATAATATTTCAAAATAAATAGCAGATATCTAAGATTCATTGGCAAGTATCAAATCAGGTAGTAATAAGATATCTTTCCTAAGGTTGGTTTCCTAAATCTCTTGAGATTTTCCTAATGTGAACTGCTTTGCTTAGAACATAGGTCTGTAACCAAAATCATGCTTAAATAATAGTTTGAACTCACAAAAGCCTGTGTCCGCTACCTGAAGGAGAAATCAGAACAGTTTCAACAGTTTGGAAGCGTAATTAATGCAATCAACAGCGAAGTTGATTCGAGTCAATTTATTAACTACCTGAACCAAATTTAAAATTAAGCTCTATGTTAAGGGCTACCATATCAAATAATAATATTTTTAAAGTCTTGCTTTTAAAGAAATTAAATTTAAATTTAACAGTAAAATATTAAATTCAGTACAGAATTTTCATATTTCTTCTCAGAAGAGCCGGAGCCAGAGCCGATGCAATCAGTGTGACCGCATCGGACGACAAAACTGTTAGACCTCACGGAAACATCTGGCAGCAGAATTTAGGAGCCGCAAAAGACAGCAAAAGTTAGGACCGCCTCGTCTCTCAGTAGTAATTGTATGAACATAATTGTAAACATAGCTTCAAACGGACTTACTTAATGGCTGTCAATGTCCCTGGTGAATTTTTGACTTCTTCAGAAATAGCCTGAATTTTTTCTACATTTCTGGCACAACCCACGACAGTCATTCCTTGGTTAACAAGCTCTCTGCAAATTCCGACTCCTATTCCGACTGATGCACCGGTAACCAAAACGACGCGACCTCTCCAACGATCCATTCTCTGTTATTTTGAAGAGAGAAAATGCTACGTGGTGCTTACGAACAGGCGTCTTCTGACAAATACAAGGTATAAATAAAAGGAAATGACAGTAGAATCATAGGTAGTTGCTACTCAGATAAAGTTTCAGTATTTTATGAGCAGATTTAAATTTCATACGCTTAACTTGTTGCTTATCTGTTTCTTTTTTTTTTTCCCTCCCTTCTGGAAACTGCAATGCATGATCTGGCAGTCTGAATTACTTAAGATACCAAGCTTCAAGAACTATACGTGTTTGGTCACGTATTTTTCATTCTTATGCAGATATCGCACTTACTTTATCTCCAATAAAAATTCGTCCGATAACTTACGGATTATCAGTAAGGTCTGCACAAATTATTTGATATAGGTTTAAATGAACGACTATTTCATTTTTAGTCTGCTTTTCTGACCTTCATTTATCTCGATAATTTTCTTATGAAAGGAATAAACCAGTTATACAACACACCACTTTGAATAGACAATATTTTCATTTCTTTTTAGAGAAATATCATAAGAAATGCTAAGCTTGGCAAACTGAAAATATTTTTTATTTTAAAGTCCAACACTGTTAACGAAAAACCAGGAAAAAAGGAAATATAAATATACATTGGTATATAAAATTACCTTTACGTGCAGAAAGGTGCACAAATGTCTTCGAATTGATATGCAACGTAATACATATCAACATAACGCATTAAATAAAAACTGGAAAACATACTGTCAATGCATACGCCATAGAAATACAATATGAAATAAATAAAAGTTAAAAAAATATGCGACAAAAATGTTATATAAATGTGAATACCGCAAAACAATTACAGACTTAACATCAATGGAGAAATTAATTCCCCTATCTTCATATATATCCCAGTATGATTTCATACTGTTTAATTTGGCTTCGGGAAAATAAGTTACAGTACTTTCTGCAATTTTATCTTCAAGGGAATCATCTATACAGAAGAGAATTTTATTCTAGAACTTTTCTTTCATGATTATCCTATATGGCACTGAAATAACGAGATTATATTTTTTCATTCCTTCCATAAAAAAAAAAAAAAAAAAAAAAAAAAAAAAAAAAAAAAAAAAAAAAATCAATCAACCGGGTTTAGATGTGGATGTTATAATCCACAAAATAGAGAATCAGCACCGCCTACATCGCTAAAAGCGTTTCGTAGGACTTAACTTGGTATCTTTTGGAACTTCATGCTTTTTACTTACTTATTTATTAATTAATGCATATATTAAATAACATTGTTATTTTTTATCACATAATTTTAAATTTAATTCATGTATTTTTACACCTTTCCATTCTAAATCGATTGACAATGGATTTGTAAAAGGCTCCTTAAAGAAAGCGAAGGATGTGAGCCGATGTTTTCAACTGAACCTTAATGGCAATTGACGACATTTGGCAATTTCTCACCAACTTGGGGCGTTTCCAGAAGTTTTCCTTCGAGGGATTTATCTAGACCAGTGTTTCTCAACCGGATTTACTCCAAGGACCGGTAAAATATTTCGGTATGTTGTCACGGATCGGTAAGTTTAATAATTCGACCCACTGGCACAATTTTTTCCATCGATCATATTCTTTTCTAAACTAGTAAACTATTGTTATTGCAATGTAGGTGCTGTTGTAATATCGGTTGTCGGCCGATGACACTTTGGATTTTGGACCAGATAGGTGGATATTTCGCGGACCGACGGTTGAGAAACACTGATCTAGACGGTTAAGATATCGGTAGTGGCTACCTTATCCCTTTCTATGATGATTCCTTTTAGTTAAGATCATGTATACGAAGCTCCGAGCTGCTGTAAATCAGCTTTGTTCAAAGTCTGTTTTGCTAGTGAATTTACAGTTAGATGATTAATACTTTAGAATTTGCTCCGGAAACGATTTTACAACTTCGCATGTTCCTTATGTTGAAAGGAAAATTTCCACTAATCTGTTTTCTCCGAGTAATTTTTGTGTGTTTATTTCATCTCTATTCATCTTAAATTGGAATAAATCATATTTTCTTGTTCATTTGGCTACTTATTTAAGAACCTACAATTCCAGCACACAGTCGTATTTAGTGCATGGAAGCAATCAAACAAGATATTGGAGATCACGTTTCTGAAATCTGGAAGGAATAGAAAATATGAAATATAAACTTCCTATGAGAAAGACATCTATTAATGACATAAATCAGGATAATCATAGTTTACATATTACAATCTCTTCATTTAAAATTCTATGCGGAATGCAACCAGTCATACTGCACTTTGCCTTAGAGCATTAGAGAATGTATAATGTAATTTCAGGATAAAAATCGAATGAAAATGAATTCTAACGAAAACAGAAAAAATGTAAAATCCACGAATGAGCTAAGTTGGGACTTAACTATAGTTTAATAACGTAATGAGGTATTTGCAATGTATGATAGTTGGTATATTGTTTCCTTTGGGCTTTAAGTAAAGTTTGCAGTTCAATGATAGCGATGTTCTGATGTTCTCCGAAATTTTTAGAGTGAAATATATTTTTTTACGTCAGTCAGAAAAGCTTTACGTAAAATCCTATAATATATAGATCATGAAATAAATAATTTTGCAGCATATGCATCTAATTCTTGAAATGTATGGTCTATTCTCTTCCACTTGCTCTCAGAATAAGAGAGGGGAAAAAAAAAAGTCGTAGTTTATTATGTTGCGAATAATTATCCTAAAAACCTCATTGTTTACGGATAAATGCAGCACTTCATTATTTATAGAACTAGGGAATTATTGAAAAACACTTCATTATTAATAAATTCTCATAAAATTTGATTATTAATATCATATATTATAACCTAGTTTTAGCCTCCTACCACTCAGCTTCAACCGGCATACATACATCAAAGTTATGAAAAACATTTTGTTATGCAGCCATGTTTCAATATACTCAATTCAGAAGAAGGAGGAACTTCCTGAGACTTTTCAGATAATGCTACCATGAAAGAAAAACTTTTGAAGAGACTAATGCTGTTAGGTCCGCTAGTAATAAAGGTCCACTAACCTAGAATTGTGAACAAAATTGTTGGTCACTTATAGCACCCCTAACATTGTACCAATCAAGAAAAAATGTGTTTCTAAAGAATTGTTTCCATTTAATCTTAATGATGATTGCAGATACATACACACATATATATATTTGAATTCAACAAATATTCTCTATTCGGATTTAAGAGTAGAAAACCAAAGTAATTAAGAAACTCTTGCCTACTGGAAACTTCCTCAACACAAATTATGCATGTAAACCTAAAATAAACGATATACAACTATCAAAATATAAAAATATTAATAAAAAATAAAAAGGCTAGTAAATAGCAAGTGTTAATTTAACTTACCTAGATCTACATAATTGAATTTCTGAGTTGTATTATTTTGCTTTACTAGTTGAGTTGAGTAGTTAGTTACTACTAACTGTAAAAATAGAGGGCTCTAATACCATGTAAAAATTGAGTGTAAAGCTACTACCTGTGACAGCTATTGTAAAAACTATGTTGGAAAATTTTTAAAGAAGTAAAATGCTTGTTTTGTGTGCAAAAATGTTGCTAACTTTTAGTCATTATTAAAAAGTGTAAAAGTAAACTGCTACTGTTTGTGAAAACAGATGTTGCAAACTACTTTTTTTTCTTAATGGTTTTGAAAAAAAAAATTAAGTAAAAATTTTAATAATAATTTTATTGAATTAATTTAAATTGAATTAGAATTTGAATAGAAAATTTCGAATTGAAATAGAGAATTATTGTAAGAAATTTTTTTTGTACTAGACTGCATTACTTAAAACTGAAGTTACAAGTTAAATTAAAACTTTAACTAAATACTGGCCAAAGGTATGGGAATTCGAAAAATTCGATAAAAATCTTCACTCGATTCGGGCTATAATAGAGTCTTTTGAAAAGAGTTGGCCCTTCATTAGTAAAAGGAAAGAATCCAGTATTCATAAAACATACATTTTTACAAAATATTTAGACGTAATCCCTTAACTCTTTAAAATCTTCCATTACCCACCAGTTAAGGTTTAAGGTAATATCATATCATAAAGCGTTACAAAATTAAAAAGAAAAATTAATGCCTGCCTTTTTAATACAGAATTTAATAAAATGTTTTCGAACCTGGTTATTAACTTGAACATTAATTAGTTTTATTATTTCTTCCTTTAACTCGTCTATTTCAGTACATATATTTTTAAATCAACTTTACTTTTTTCTTGTGAAACATATATATATATATATAATAAACATGTATATAAATGTGAAATTTTAATGCATGTATATAAATTAAAATTTTAATTTAGTCATGATGGCAGAGTGGCAGGACAGGAAGATGACGCCAACACAAAATTAATTAAGTCCTAATCTTTATTTTCACGCATATAAAATAATCTTAGTAGATATTTACCCAATCATAATGAATTACAGTACACCGAATTTAAAAAATAAGACGTGGGCAGTTTAGATGGGGAAGCAAAGCAGCGTGGATGTTGGCATGGCAGAAGCTAGGAAAAGGAATGACATAATTAACTTGCAGTATTTATATCAAAGAAAATGCAATTGTAGAGAAAAGCTATAACTCTCTTTAAAAATGTGATACTTTAAGGCATAAATGAAGTCATGAAAAAGACGTTAACAAGACTAATTTTGGCAGATCACCAACTAAACAACTAGATTTTACTTGTAAAAATTTATTACAAAATTAAATACAAGATTTAATAATTCAACATCCATTTCAAAATACATGGACTTCAATCTTGAAATTTTACATTTAATAAATATTTCATCAAATTAAACACATCTTGCAATTAAGATTCCTGCTCAACAGGTCTAATGAGAATATCATTCACATCAACATGTGGAGGTGATTGCAAAATGTATACAACTGAATCAGCAATATCTTTGGCCTGCAGACATTTCATACTTTGGTACAAAGCTTCAGTTTTTTTCTTGTCTTCATTCATTCGAAAGAAAAATTCTGTCTCCACTACACCAGGGCTGATACTCTATACAAAATGAAAAAAGTATTATTATTGTACATATTAAAACATAGAATAATTCGAGAACTTCTGTATATGACATCACATTTTTACAAAAAAAAAAAAAAAAAAGTTTCATGCTCTTAATTAGTGCATGACAAACAACTGAATACAAGCTACCAAACCGACAGATTTTAGATGTCCCTATTTTGTAAAGGCTTTACAATCACAAACATCCATGTCTTGTCTAGGCTTTGAATATCATGTGTAAGCAGCATCTGCCAACCATCATACTTTCAACACAGCAACTGTATAAAAGAAGTTAGAACTTAAAACAATAATGTATGTAAATTTGTGATAGTTTGTAGAATGCAGGGAAAAAAAAAAAAAAAAAAAAAAAAAAAAAAAAAAAAAAAACCATTGGCAGCACAGTGAAAGTACACTGGTTATCATTAATTATGGAAAAATCATAAAAATGGCACTCAAAAAGTTACATATAGAATTTAATGAAACTGTCCCACAATATACAATACGTATAAAATAACAAGAAAAGAAATTACCAGGCAATAACGGTTTTACAGAAATTAGCATGTGTATAAAATGAACAAATTGTATGTGTCTGTTTGGTATAGGAAAATTACCTTCAATATGGAGCATAATCTCCCTAGAAAGAATACAGCACATATAGCAATGTAAGATATTGTCAATTATGCAGTCTACCAGTTCCATAGGAAATGAGAGCCAATGATCTTACAAGCAGTTGCAAGTGTGGCAAGGGTCTGAAGAGGAGGACAGAACAACTATATATCTTCCTAAAACATCTCAAACATGCTTAATAGGATTTAGTCCAGGTGATTGACCCAGCCACTCCATGCATTAAACTGTTTGCTTATGAATAATCATCCATGATGTGAGTCTTGTGAAGCCTAGCGTTGTCATCCTGCAGCAGGAAATCATCACCTATTGCCCCCAGCACAAGGGTACACATAAGCAACTAGAATGTCATCTCTATAGCCCTCAGCATTCATGGTTCAGTGTGGAAAGACATAGAGGTCTAAGCATCCAGCCGAAAAGATACTACCCTAGACACAGAGACATGCCTCCTCTGTATGCATCTCTTTCATGGATGTTTGATGGATGATAACAGGTTCCATGTTCTCTAAAAATAAAATAATACCTAATTTTGCTTTGGAGGTTAAACCTAGATTCATCCATAAAGAGCACAGCCATCTTGATTATCCATCAAGTGGACATGTTGGTGTGCACACCTCAAACATTCCCATCTATGATGTGATGTGAGCAACACACAAATGGCTGGTCATCTTGCATACAGATTTCCTTTGTGAAGCCTTCTATGTACAGCTGACATTAACATCAACCTTCTGGTAGTTATAGTAATGGAGGATCTGAGTTCAGGCGGAGTTGTGGTTACATTCCTTTGTTACAACAAATATCAGTCATTTGACGCTCGGTGTAGGCTGTCCTTGGCTGAGATTTCTGGATGCTGAATCCGAGTTTAGAAATTGTTGCCATGTCTATGAGCCACAGAAGAATTCACCTATAGCTATTTGGCCACTTCTGTCTGGCTATGTTCTGCTTCTAGTCTCTCCAATAGCTCTCAATCGCAGTTTTTCGGGCAAATGATGCCTCAAGCTCATTGTTATGAATTGGCTGTCCCAGATTTCTTAACTCAGTATCACAGAGGAATATGCAGGCTTCCTCTGGAACATGCAATTTTATGCTCCTTGCAGATGACATATTCCGATTGCAGAACCATTAATTTGCATACTGCAGAACAAATTCACTTTAAATTTTAGAGGAGTTCACTCAGCAACTCTTATTTGACAACATACTGACATTTTATATCAATTTGCGTATTTTTTAACCAGTTATCACTATTTTTGTGATTTTTTTCCTTAATTTTTGGAAACCAGTGTAAAAAGATACAAATTAATAAAAATCAGAGTGATGAAGCTTCTCCAGATAAATTCTTTAGAGAAGACCTACATCAGTTATATATGAATTTGAACGAAGAATTTAATTTATATCAAATAGATAGACAACTGACAGTTTCACTTAAATTTTTTAACGTAAATGAGCAGATAATTGATTTACAATGGAAAAATAAATCCTCGAAGGCACAACTTAATGACTGAGAAAAAACAATAACGAATTTGGGGAGAAAAAAAAAACTTTTTTAGTTGGAACACTATTACATATATTTGTTCACATGTGACCTTTTATGCATGTGTTTCTAGAAAAAATTTAAATGCTCTTAACTCATAGTGCACCCCATCCTCTGTAGAGGAAACCACAAGGGAGAAAGATATCAGGAGAGGAAAAGGAGAGATAAGAGGAGAAGAAAAGAAAAAGAGAAAAGATCATTGCGGCTTCAAGATTGTAAGGTCCGTCTACCAAAAGGTAATCCCCTGAAGGGTTTTCACCTGCTATGCTTTAGCTGAGAATATTGGAATTGCCTTCACACCTAAAGTTACCCTACCAGAAGCTATGCTCTCAACTTACTTCGCCCACCATGCCCAGTGACACCCCCTGCGACACTGAGGCAGCTTAGCAGCAGTTGGCAAGCAAATCAGTAAGATGAAAATTACGGAGACAAATTCACTTTAAATTTTAGGGGAACTCACTTAATGGCTTGAGGAGAAAAATTATTTGAATATTTAAAACGTTTTCAGAGTCCAGTGTTAAAAAGTTGAGGGAAAATACATGACTAAATATGGTATACAACATAAAGAAAACATTCCAATCTAAGAAATCAGGCATACTGGTATAAATCAAGTCATTTCTTATCAGCAAGGCAGGCAACAAATCTTGAATACAAAAGCAGGGAAACTGTAGATTTAGCTCCTTGATGGATACAAACACAGTAAGAAATAAATAGATCATTTTCATTCTCTCTCTTCTGTAACTCTTAATACAGATTGGCAAAGTGAATAAGTTCTTTTTTATGAATCATTGCTCACTAACAATAACCTTGATGAAAAAAATCATGACTGGGGAGTGAATCAAGAATGGAGTGAAGAGTAGAAAGAATTAAATGAGAAGTAGGATAAAAAAAAAAAAACTATTAGTGAAGATGGAACAAACCATATTTTCAATGCTGGCTCAATGCAGCATAAGTCATTTTCTAAAGGTTTAGCATCATATTCCCATTTTATATCTCTATTATATTTCAAAATACAGCCTCTTCTTGCACTCTATAATTAGAGTTTCTATAGGACTGTTGCTAATAATTTTAGAACCAGGATGTAATCCATATACTTTGGATATTTCTCACCGCCTAGAATTGGCTGGTTAAACAAACTTTAGCGTTTAAAGTTGTATAAGTGTTTATTAGTTACAAAGAAGCCTGTTACACATTTTGACATAAAATTCAGTATGCATTAGCAAATTTCTGTATAATGGAAAGGGGGACATTTATGCATGGTTTTTTAAACACTGTAATGTTTACCATATTTAGAAACTAACAAAATTCAAGGCACATTTTTTTTGTTCAAAAATATATAGAAGAATTCAGATAATTTATAACTCTTATAGTAAATTAAAAAAAAAAAAAAAAAAAAAAAAAAGCTTTTAGAAAATACAGCATAATTTTTTTTCTACTCTTATATGCGCCCTAAGGTCACCAAATGTGGCTATGTTGTGTTCTGCACTGGTTTTGGTGCGATTCCGTGCTGTTTTTTTGGTGGACGTTTATGGAAATCCTTTTGACGTTGAAACTTTTCTTTGCTGCAGTGTCGTCATGTTTTGAAATGTCCTATGTTGCAATGATAGAAGTGGTGAAGAGTTTGTTCGCGTATTTTAGATTGTGTAGTATTTTTAGTATTTTTGAAATGTTAGTTTTTGGTATTTTATAGGATCGAAGTATTTTTGGAATTTCTGTGGTTCTTTTAAAACGGAGTGTGTATGCGGAGCTGAAGAGCTTGATATTTTTTTTGTTGGTTTTTATTGCTGCAGTTTTATCAGCTTGATTTGGATCATTTTCGTGTAGTAAGTTAACTTTGGAGGAACTTTTTATCGTTGTTTGCGAAATCTGGAATCTCAGAAAGTCGTGTGATATAGCAAAATCGTGGCACCTTTTTTGAATTGTTTGTAATTTAGTTTAGTTTATTTGGTTGATTTGTGCGCAATGCCTAGATTGTGCAATTCGTAGATGTTTTTTTAAGTTTAAACAGAATGCTGTGTACATGGTATTCTTTGAAATTTATTGCTGTTATGTTAATTTTTTGGAGCGAAGGGTGCGTAGTTCGTAGATTCCTTCGCTGCCTAGAATGTGCAATTCGTAGATGTTTTTTGAAGTTAAAATATATCGCTGTGTACATTGATTCTTGTCAAATATTTTTGGTTAGAAACTTTAAATTTTTGCTATCTAAATTTTTTGTTTTTGTTTTGGACTTTTAGTTTAAATAGTGTGTTCAAAACATGGTTTTTGCATGTGCGAAAACCATGTTTTGAACACACTATTTTCTCTCATTTTACAACATAAAAATTACTCTAAAAGTAATTTTGCAGAGAGATATACTTTTTTTTTAATATAGGATACTTTGACCTTTTTATTGTCTCTAAGAAAGTGTTCCTGAAAAAATTCTGCATCATTTATCTTCCCCTCTCTTTTCTCACTAGAGTTTTTCCCTGCACTGATACTTTTTGGAGTATATAAGTATCAAAAATACAATTCTATTAGATATATCTGTATTAAATAATTCTTAAGTCCTGATATGGTTTTTGCATGTACGAAAACCGCATTTTTGGATACTTTTAGGCTTAAAGTTCGAAATGTAGACAAAAAATTTAGATAGTAATATGGCACCATGGAGTTTCTCACCAAAAATGTTTGCTGAGAAATTTGGCAACTTGAGGGTGCATATAAGAGTAGTTCCTAAATTTTTAATGGTATTTTTCTTCTATAAATATGCAATTACAATTTCTAACATATTTAGATTTAAAAAAAAAAAAAAAAAGAGTTTTGAAGCCTTTTTTCATACATGTTAGTTAACAAATATTTCACTTTAATCATTACTTTATGTCATATTCTGTAAAATTTATGTCTATATTCTGTGTGCTTCTAAAATTAATTCCAAGTTTATATAGTTAGCATGTATAAAAAATTTATGTCTGCAGCTTTTCAGTCAGGAATTTCGCTTTAATGCACTTCACAGGAGGTTTGCTTACATTCTGCACAATGATGAAGTGTTTACATTGGTGACAAACAGCAATAGTTTAAAAAAAATACATTTTCAGACATTCAACTGATGTTAAAATCAAAAATATGGCAACAAGAGAATAAAAACGAACAAAATTTCTTTTAAAAAATTTAAAATTTCAATTCTAGTATTATTAATCCAATTCCACATGTGTGAAAATTAAAGGTACATTAAGCATAAGGATACAATTTAGGGAAAAACTAGACAGCAGGGAATTTTGTAAATAGTGCATTTATTTAGTAAACTGTTTTTCTCTCATTTTACAACATAAAAATTACTCTAAAGTAATTTTGCAGAGAGATATACTTTTTTTTTAAATATAGGATACTTTGACCTTTTTATTGTCTCTAAAAAAGTGTTCCTGAAAAAATTCTGCATCATTTATCTTCCCCCCTCCTTTTCTCACTAGAGTTTTTCCTTGCACTGATACTTTTTGGAGTATATAAGTATCAAAAATACAATTCTATTAGATATATCTGTATTAAATAATTCTTAAGTCCTGATATGGTTATTATTCATATGCAAATAATCCAAATTTAATGGAAAAATCAGGAAATGGGGGAATAAACAAAACTTGCCCATAATCTGCAAAAAATACTGACACATGACCTATAATCAACAGTGTTTTCTAATCAAGTCATTGGATCAATAAGCATGCCCAAGCCAGTCATTAGATTATCTTTAATTAAGTCACTGGGTCAATAAAGCAGTACTGAATTAAATCTGCACAACTCTTACTCCCAATATGAATGGATTTTGAAAATTCTATTGTATATGAATTATCAAAATTAATAAAACTACATGACCACACAGTAAATATTCAGCTTGTTTAGTCTTACATAAAATGAGTAAATTCATCTTACTGCAACACGAATGTGAGTTCCTGCCCCTGTCAACTCTCTTCTTAAACCTTCTGTAAGAGCACGAACCATGAACTTAGTTCCTGCATAGAAAGCTGCTCTGGATGATGCAAGTCGATAACCAGACATACTACATTGGAAGAGGGAAATTCACATAGTTAAAACATTTGAGGAGATGGTACAAAAAAAATTTAGAATACTTATATAGGAAAATTAATTATATTAAGATACGATTTCATGGTGTGTTTGTCCATGTGTTGTTTGAAAATAGCTTACAGAATTTTAAAAATTCAAGAAAACTTCTTGAACATTTCTTAAATAAGTTAAACAGCTTCCAAAATTATCTTAAAACTTAATACCTTTGTATCCATTTTCTTGCCTGTTTTATATACAAATTAACTGGAAGTTACAGTATGCCAAAAACCATGAATAATCAAATTTGCTAATATTTATAGTATTAAAAGGTGTATGAACTTGAAACACAGCATAATGAACACAAAGGAACAATTACTTAAACTCCAATTAATTAAATTTTAGGACAAATTTTAACATTCAGATTCTAGTGTATGCAGAAAACATTTCATCACCATAATTAAACTGATATTTCAACTTCAAGGCAAACAAAAGAACTATAATAACCATGAAAATGTCTTAATTAATTTTTCTACATAAACACAGATTAATATTATTTAATACTAATAAATAAATTTAGAATATGTACTATCCTGTTATTCAAATAAGATTTTTAAGGAGCTCTGTGATATATCAGAAATTCATTAGAAATAATAAAAAAAAAAAATTCATTAAATTTTACTTATACAACTATTATTTTAAAATACTTAAAATTTTAAATACTTTTAAGGAGTTAATTTTTGAGATATGCATAAACAGTAAGCGGCAGAAAAAAATAATGGCTAGATTTGAGAATATGAACTAGTTCAGCCCAGCAGATGATTATACGCCAACTGCAAGTAGTTTAGCATAGAGTAAATTTTAGGCAAGAGAAAAAAACTGAGTTGATGCAAGAACATTATTGTGCTATGATTTTAAAGAGGGATTAAATCAAGAAGAATGCATTCAATGCCTACAGTTAACATTTGGAAATGAAGGTCCATCTTCTGCTGCTGTATTCAGATGGATTGCAGAATTTTACAGAGGTCACAACTATCTCCAAGACGAATACACAGGCAGGCAGCATTCCTGGATAATGTGTCAGCCATACAGAAAATGTTAATCAATAACAATCACTGCACCTGCCAAATGATACACAAGGAACTTAAGATTGGATTCATTGCTATGTTAGAATCAGTAAAGAAGCCCTTAAATTATTTAAAGATGGTGGCCACCACATTATTTCTAAAACTGAAACCAATGATGAAACATGCATATAATTTTTTTGACATTTCAATACATTAAGAAAATAAAGTATGGGTCTTTGAAGATGATTCCATGCCCACAAAGGCAAAAAGACAACGTGCCATGAAAAAAGTAATGTACAGGTATACCACTTTCCTCAGAAGTACAGGACTGGTCAAAGCCATCAAGAAGGAAGGACAGAAGACAGCCACAGCTAACTGATACACCACTAAATATATTCCAGAAATTCTTCAAGAGTAAAAGTGAGGACTCGTACTTCACCACCACAAGTCATCTTCTCATTCAGCAAGATTGACATATGAGTTTCTTGAACAAAAGCGTATCAAAGTAAAAGAACATCCACCCTTTTTACTCGATTTGGCTATGTGTGACTTTTGGATATTTTTTAATCTAAAAAAGAACTTATGTGGACATCATTTTCATTCAAAAGATGAGACTGATGATGCTATAAATGTACTTTTTTCATTGATTCCAAGAAATGAATGGCTTAAAGCATTTAATCTGTGGAAAATTTGCCTACAGAAGTGCACTGATGCTGGAAGAAGCTATTTTGAACACTCCTAAAATTCCATAAGTATAACTTGTAAAACCTATGTGTATCTCAATTTCATGGTTACCCTCTTATAACAATTAAAATAAAACTTCGGCTTGGCAGGAATTTCCCATTATACAGAAACAAAAGATGCACAAAATATTTTAAATACCCACTGTAGCATATCTGAAACTAAAAATGTTTTGATTTACTTATTCAAATGTGTACAAAATTGAAGCTGTTTTAACATTAAATAAAAAATTTTATTTCTAGAAAGTAAATCCCTTATACATTGAATGTGCCTGTCTTGTAAACACATGACTTCTAAACCTATAGTGACTAGATACTTCCTCATAAATACTGCTTTAAGGTTTATCTTCTTCCATAAGTTGGGTGAAAGCGAAACTTGGCGAGATTTTTTCGAGGCACGATTTTGATTTGGTTGTGGTTTCCGGCTGTATATTTTCTAGTGGCAAACAGAGTTTTATTTAAGAGATTGTAATGAGTGAAAGTTTAATGTAGCCAGAAGATTTAAAAAAAAAAAATTAATTTTGAAATATTGTGTTTATTTTTAAAAGTTTTATTGTTTAATATTTGCAGAAGGTTAAGCTGTTGCTGATAGGAGAATGTGGGATTTCAGAAGATGTGTAGTTTATAATTTATGAATATTTTCATTTAATTTTATTTAGCTAATATTTTTTGGGTAAATTGATTATTTTTGTTTTGTTTTGTTTTTTTTGCACGTGGCAACCGAAAGATGTGGAATGTTTAAAGTGTTAAGCAAAAGTGGTCCAGTGTGTTGATTTCCATGATGAAAGTAACTTGTATATTTTGGGAGTTTCTGATGCATCCATTGTTGGTGAATTTGGATATATTTATTTGGTTGACGATTTTTGAGTCCGAGGAATGTATTATACAATTTATTTCAGAAGTTGGTTTAATTTCTTCAATTGAAACTGATGTGAAATGTCCAAAATGTTCAGTGAAGATGGTTGTTAATAAGGATTCAAGTAAAAAACTTGATTGGCGATGGGTTTGTAAGAATAAGAGTACCACTTTCAGATGTAGTAGCATAGTGAACTCATTAAGGACACCTTCTTCTATGGATACCTTTATGTAGTTATTTTGTAGACATGAAATTTTTTTATGCGAGTTAAGAGACATTTGGTATGCATTATTTTTGGAGCAATATATTTTTTGCATTTTTTGAAATTTTCAGTTTTATGTTTGTGACTTGAATTTTAAGTAGCCTATTTTAAATTTATATTTTAGTTTGTAGTAATTTATGCATGTGTTGTATTTAGTGTCATTTTCGTTTGGCGATGTTACATTTTACATCGGCGTTTCTTTTTGCAACATGCAACTGCAAAATGAAACAGCAATGTGAAGTTTGACACCACAAACAAAAAGAGTTTGGGACCAACTTTCCCCGCTTATGGAAGATTAGCCATTTTTACAAATATTGATGATAAAGAATATAAGAGATAAAAGTACTTCTTTGTTAAACTTAAAGTGAAATTTAAACAGCTTGTAGAAAATTTTTAGTTCTTATACCTAAGAAATAAAGTTTTCAAGAATCTTAGTACTATTTACTACACAAGCATTTACTAATATTTATATATCAGTTACTTTGCCCATACATGATACGAACTACTGATCAAAATAAAAAAACTTCACGATATCACCTTAAAAAAATAATTAGTTGCATGAAATTAATTATCAAATACTTGTATAATGAACTAAAAAAGAATTGCTTAATACATGAAACACATAATAACACAGAAGTGCATGCATTTTTTCAATTCATAATCTTATTGCCAAAAATAAAAACTAATAGATGACTTCATCAATAAAACTTTACCTGCTAATATTAATTATTTGACCATCATCAATATTTTTTTCTCTCATTAATTTTACTGATTCTCTGTTGCAGATGCAAAGAGCTAACACATTAACCTATATAATAAATTTAAGAGAAGTTTTTAAAAATTTCAGCACAATAAATTTGCAAAAATAAATATATAATTACAAATGAATAAACAATAGATGAATGAAATTGTATTTTCAGTTATAACTTCCTCTCTAAAAATGATTAATGTTTTAAAACAAAGTTATTTGGCAGTTTAAGAAAAACTTTTTCCAAAAAAAAAAAGAATATAAAAACAATTTAAAAAAAGCATATAACATACACAAGACAATGTTAACATAATGCATTAACTCCCCAAAATTAAAAATAATAATAATAAACAAAACACAGACCAAATTCAATAGCAATGTGAAAAGAAATTTACAAGTGGTATGAAATTATTGTAAGTGAAATTGCAATTCTCATTGAATGTAAATTAACAAAGCAATTTCACCAAAAATGAGGCACAATAAAGTATTGGTAATACTATTTAGTAGACAGGGATCACCTCTTATAACAATATAGGATCAGCAACAGTGTTCCTATTGTTAATATAGTAGAAATTGAAGAGCAGATAAGTGATAAAGTGAACATAAGCTCTCTATTAGCAGTAACTAGCCTTTTGAGAATATTAATATCATATTTATTCATATATCACCCTCCTTTTTTAATCAATTTTATATCATGAAAGCAAAACAGAAGAATTATGCAGTACATACCTCTATTGAGGAGAAGGCTTAAATGAAAATCACAATACTTTAAAAAGACACAGGAACAAATGTACTATTGTAACTGCATTTGGTGTTTCAAAGAAGTCAGTTAAAGTTATTTATTTCAACAATATTCTTTTTACTTACAATGAATGTGCTTTCTTATTCGAGCATACATTTTATGTTAATATACATCAGAAATTTTTAAATCATGTACTGAAAAAGAAGAAAAATATGCCTGAGAGAGAAAAAATGCCAGTAAATACAATAATGTCCAAAACTTAATCAAGTTTTCTTAGTTTGGCTGTAACTCTGCAAAATATCAACTGGGAGACATGAAATTCATACTACAGAGACAATGTTTAAAGGATGAGGAAAGTAGACGAATAGAGTACAAAAAGAACAGAAAAAGGCTTTATTGACAGAATGACATTACACACACACACACAAACAAAAAAAAAAAAAAAAAAAAAAATCTGGTCAAGAGGAGAGCCTTAATAAGGGATATGATCTCCCTTAATTGCAATAGCTGCATTGCACAATCTGTTCATACTCAACACCTGATTATCTGACATTTCTTGGAGTAAGAGTTCCCATTCTTTAAGAAGCATCTGTTTCAGTTGTCTGGTGTTTTCCAGAGAGTAAGATTGTGCTGCCAAGCTTCTTCCTTAAGTATCCCACACATGTTCAGTGGGATTTAAAATCAGGAAAGCAAGCTGGCCAATCCATTCTGTGGATATCTTCGAAATCCAGGAGCTTCTCAACAGCAGGAGTCCTGTGTACCTGTGCATTGTCATCCATAAAAACAAAGCTGGGCTAAATGGCACCCCAGGAAACATGCATGGGAGAGGGGGTAACTTAATAAACAGTGATGACTGCTAGTAAGTGAACTTCTATTAAAAATGTGGAGATCTATCCATCCATTTAGCATGCCTCCTTAGATAAGCAAACCAGAACCATTCCAATGGTGTCTGATGTCAGTAGAATTAAAGCATGTCCCTACCTTTTTCCATATCAATTCGCACAGAGAATCATTTGTCTGACTAAAACAATTCTCAACGGTAAAGAGGATGCGACTCCATTGGCAGGGTGTCTGGTTTTGTATTCGCCACACCACTGTAAATCGTGCCACTGATGGGCTCCAGTTAATAGTATGCAGCATTCAAGATGTTAGGCAAATAGGCTCCCTTATGAAGTTGTCAGGCAACAGTAAATTGAGACATCTGAAGTCTGGTTGCTGTGCGCAACTCTTGAGAAGTATTCCCCACTCTCTGCTTTGAATCTTTTCTGCATATAAATGTTTCCTGGTGTTTTGTTGTAGTCATATTACACGTACAATTTCAATTTCACTTGCAGAAGAATGCCTGGAAAGCCACTTTCTTTTCTTAAGTTGCTTTGCACCATACACACTGATTTCTCATGTTTTGTGTGCCCTGACATCACAGTGCTGATATTTGCATTTGCATTACCTTTTTACTGAGAAAAAGTCTGTTTCAACAAATTCATGGATGTATGCTGAAAAATAAATTTGTCACTAAACTTTGGTCCACTAGTAACTTAAAACATCCATACAGCATCTAAACACACTAAATTCCATTTAAATCAAAAACTGAGTTTTTTGAAGTCGTGATGACTGAAGTATATTTTTCTGTTCAAATAGAAAATTTCCTTAGCCCTTTCAAAGAAAATTGCCATTAGTAAAATGCTTTTGAAGCTTAATTACTTCAAATTAAAATATGATTATTCTGTGAATAATTTGAATTCCGAGATCATTTTAATACAAAGAGTTCATTTCAACAACAGAAAAGTACTTTCCAAATTACATTTCAACAATATTTAAAACTATGCATCCTTTATAATGCAAAATGAAAAAAAACATAAATGTTGTGAAAATAGAAATATTGAATAAAATTGTGATTTATGAAGCATAACAAAAAAAGAAATCTGCCACAAACTATTTTTAAGATATGAACACTGACATCTATTTGTAATGAATGATATCTGATTTGCATATGTATTAGTTTTTATAAGAATTGTTTCACAGTGTGGATTACAAAACTGTTTCCCCACATTTTAGTAAAGTGCAGGTTTGAAGACATGTTAATTTACCTGTTTGCTGAAGCTGCGACCTTTTAATTTATAATTATAGGATTCCTTGTACTTTCCCTTTTGATTTAAATGTAATTAAGCTTACAAACCTCTTGAATCAATCCAGATTAATAAAATTAAGCTTAATGAATATGATACAGCTAGACATTAATACAATATGTCAACTATGTTTACAGTGGTTAAACCTCTTTTCTGATAGGTAATTTGTATTCATACTTTAATATGAGATAGAGAACATGAAATGATGCTCTCACTCAAATATTTTGATTAATTTTTGTACATATTTTTAAGGATTCATTAAGTAAGTACACAGAGTCAAATTTGTCAATGTATCCTCGAAAAATTTGAATTTTGATTTAATAGCAGAGCAGGATTTATTATTACTGACAGTACTAATACTAATTAATAAAACTGATAGTACTAATACAGGAAGAGAAAATAATTTTTGATGGGCTCAGAATTGTGTTTGTATTTTTATGTGTGTCAATTAAGGAAAATATACTTAGCATTTCAAAAATGATCTTGTTAACACCACTAGTAAGTTCTAAATTGCTTAAAAAAAGTCTAAAGGTAATAAAAACTGCTCTTTCTTTTTGGGCTACCTATTGAATAATGCAATTTTATTTTGAAACAAAGGTTTTATTATCAAATCAAAATGCACTATATACTGAATGTGAACTTGAGCTATAATTTTTTTTTCAACAGATGTATAATAAGTTTTTCTTTCATTCCGATATTAATTTAACTTTTAGTATCCATGACATGCTCTTGGATTATTACATTTTGATTTACGAATGATTTTAACTTTAGGCCACAGCATACTAATAGCAAAGATTTATAACTGAAAGTTTTCTAAAGGCAACACACATAGCTGTCTCAGGAAAAATGTGACAAAATTACATAGCAAGGTGATGAGAATAAACCAAAATCAAACATTGAAATATTTTAACATGCTGCTTCATGCAAGAGATAAGCACACAGTTGTTACTTCTCCAGTTTCAGTCTCGAGAACTCTGATTTTTAATGCTGATATCTGAGCTTTGGCTTTATGAAATGAATGAATTTACGAAATCCTTTGAAACTGTGAAATCAGTATTTCTTGATCTCTCTCTATTATCTCTCCATGGTAACACTTACTGAGAGTTGGGAACTTATGGGAATATGGAAAAGCAATTTCAAAATCCCATCACTTCTTGCTGGTCAAATAAAGGGGCATCTATGCTTTATACTTGGTATTGTTTTCTCTGTCTTCATATCATCAAACTAGAAACTCATCAGTTTCATCTTATGTAGCCTTAAGAAACGAACTGTGAATTGTGCACAAGCAGCCCTTGAACACTGTGAAGAAATTCATTATGCATATTCAGTTAAGGCTTCAACATTACTTAAAATGATGCCAGACGTCTTTAAACGAATCCATCATCAAATGATGCAAGGTGATTCACATTAATGTAAATAGTTAATGATTTGAGCACTTATTATGAAGCATACCATATAAAACACTGGTGACCTGCAACTACACACCATACAAGACACTGGTGACCTGCAATTACATTGTCATTCTCCTTCACTTGCTTGGCCAGAAGTGATGTTGCAAGACTCTGAAATTGCAGATATCCAGAGTGAAGTGGTGTGCACCAGAATCACCTTTCTCAAAAACTCAACATAATGCTCTAGCATTTATTCAGGATATACTTTGAAAGTACATGCATTCGTAAAATATGAAAAAGAACTATATATACATACATCTAGCATACTTCTCCATAAATGAGTCTCTCCATCCAAAAGGGAATGTTTAGTACTAAATCCTGCATTATTAATGCAAACATCTAAACGGCCATATTGCTCACGAATTTCTTGAAACATATCAAGAATCTCAGTTTCATTGGCAAGATCACATCTGCACATAACATAACAAACATAGGGAAATTATTTAATTGCAGTAATCAAATAATATTAAATTTTAACAGCAAACATAATAATGCCTGTCAAAATAAATTTCAATACAGAATCTGATTATTAAAATGCATTACAGAAGTTACATAGTATATATTACTCTTGTGTCAGCTCTCGCAATTTAAGCGTCTGTTAATTTATAGATCTACTATTAGAGAGACACTGTTAGCAGCACTCAATATTCAAAATTTGTTCGCATTGGAGCCAAATGTTTTAATGTCAGAACACATTTAGCAGTATTGAAACCCTTCAGAATATCAGCTAAGAGATCAAGAGGTGGGAAAAGTGATGTTATTAACCCTCTGAACCGTGCAGGATTTTAGATGTGTCATAAAGACCGGTATTTAAACAGCATTTGTTAATTGAGTTTATATTTTTACTTATTTTAGTCTGTATTTCCATAAAGTTGCATTCATCAAGACAATATTTATGTTATTAAAGAAAGCAAAATATCTTAAATTATTAAATATATGCCAAGTAGCAAAACTTCTGATAACCGGATAAAACCGGTCATAATGCTTAGAGGGTTAATAAAATGTGGAAATAAAAATTATTACCTCCACTTAAAAATATGAAGTTACTAAAAAGTCAGATAATATAAAACCTGAAAGGTATCACATGAATGCTATGGAAGATTAACTATGTAAGATTTAAAAAAAAAAAAAAAAAAAAAAAACCAGGAGCAGATGCATATACCCTTATGACACTTCTTAGCTGATTTTTTTTATGAATCTTGTTTGATAATAAAAAAAAATTACATTGGTTGTCCTATAAAAATTGCAATTTAGAAACACTCTTAAATTTATAAATAACATAAGACTAAATAAGTTTTAGGTCCTAAATTAGCAAGGTCCTGTAATTGTCATTTCAAAAATTCCCACTAAATTGTCAACTAAACTTTTTTTTCATTCTCAGCAACCTTCCTTCACTAACAACAGCAATATTTTTTGGATTTAGAATCATACTACATATTTTACTGTTTGTTAGTTGATTGGGACATTATCATCACAATGAAAGACTTCCTGTTACATTCATTTATTAGCCCTTTGCCATATTTCTTTACAATATTTTCTTTCCATTAATTGGAAAAATTTCCTTTTTTGCTTGCAATAGCTGAAAACCCTCAAATTCATGGCTATCATCATAAAGTTTGCTATAAACTATTGGTGACTAAAGACATGTTGTTCTTCTAAATTTTATCTTGCTTCTATCACACACTGATGAAGTTAAGCCTGAATTATATAATTATTTATTATATTTACAAATTTCGCACACATGCTTATGACTTGTCCAAGTCCCAAATAAATAAATTTTCACATTAGCCCACAGACGGCGCTGGACATTTTATAGCCTGCAGGTCCAAAATTCTACTGCTAAGCATCTCCCTAAATTCTAAAACTTTGCTGCCCCCAAATTTTGCATCCCAGTGCCTTCATTAAATTTTAAAGATTTTGCTATCTCTTAATTTTGGTGCTCAGCTCTTCTCTAAACTTAAAAAAAGTTTGTCTCGCTTAAATTTTACTGTCTGGTGTAGCTGCACCAGCTCTGGCACAGGTCCTAAGTTTAATAAAAAATTGGTTATTCTCAATTCAAGCAGCTCTAAGTCATCTAGCCTATGAGTTATCACTTAGAAAATATATATATATATTTTTTAATAAGGAAAGAAATTTCTGGTAAATGTCTCCTCATCAACACATTCAATACTTTACAGCAGAGTTAGTTGAAGTCTGTAATCATTGGCAAGCGTAATGAAAACATAAAAGGTTACTATGCTCTTTGGTATTCAATTATTAATATTAAAAATATAACAGTAAAAAAAAAGAATTGTTTACACATTGTGGCACAAGTCCTTTTTCAAGTTGCAATGTGTTGATAGTTATGTAGGGATGAAAGCAGAAAAATAACAAATAATGATTCGCCAGAATGATATCAGTGTTTACGTGAAATTAAGAAAAAGGACCGTCTAAAAGATTTATGAAAAAATATCAAATTTGCAAATGTAAAGCAAAGATGAAAAAAATTTTTAATATTGCTGGTGATTTGGAGGTCTGGATTTTTAGATCATACTGAATATTGGATAGCCAGATTTTGGGACTTTGTACTGTATTTGAATGATATACATACAGGTATAAAAAAACAGTCTAAAATTTGCCTTTTGTATTGAACCTGGCAACATTATAATACAATTAAGTTCGAACATAAAAAAAAAATCCCAAATGTTTATTTTTAATCATGCTAAAGTATTTATATATATTAAATGCAAGAGCTGAGAGTTTCTTTTTTAATCATGTTAAAGCATTTATATATATTAAGTGCCAAACACAGCAGTTTAACCTCAGTTATGGTTCAGTGTAACATAACAACACACTCTAACATCTGCACTTTCGTTTATGTAACCTCAATAGGTTCTCGATAAACTTGACTTTGTTTTTATGAATAAGGATATAAATTAACTGTTACTACTGTAATTTTTGTTGCATTTTGAAAAACAAATGATTAAAATTTTGGACCTGCCTTTTACAGGACAACAAACAGTAGATCATTTTAAAAGTTATGGTATCCTACCGCCAAAAAACGCGTAGTAATAGACACAATATGGCTGACAAAGTAGACTGAAATAATCATTCACAGCCTTTTAAACAGAATATAACTGTAAAAGTGAAGGGCTTAATAAAATATGAGAAACCAAAGAAAGCTTTTTTATGAAGTGCAAAAATGAAGCAGGTCAGTTACTGTTTGTTTATTAAGTAAAGAGGCATCAGTTCCTTCTTAATTCCACAGGAACAATTAGCACAACTTTGACCAAATCTCTGTTAACTTTCATGATCAGTGGGATAATAAATAAGTAGTGAAATTGCAGTACAGTGATAAATGTAATGTTAATGGATAATTGAAAGAAAGTTTCTGATCAAATTTTTGAAACTACTTAAAATGAAAAACTTAACTTTTAAAACAAATACAAAACATTGATAAATCTGTTTGGCATTACATATTGCACAAAACACTGATGAGTTTTTATCTAAAGGTAAATATTCCAAACAGATGGTAGTAAAATTTATGAACTGCAATGCTGCAAGAACTCGTCAAAAGAATATCACTGATGCATAGTTTGGTAAATTTTAAAAACATCCGATTCCAGGTGAAGTTGTACAAAAATCCATTTAAGTAATAACAAAGGTTACATAACCTTCAGTTTTAGTGTGTAATTAGGTTACATGCGATATATAGCGGAATTTCAGAAATTAATTAGTTCAGACTTACTTTATAGGTAGGAGATGACCAGATGCTTTTTTGACACTTTCTTCGGCGGCAATTTCGCGAATTTTATCAACATTTCTAGCACATCCTACTACTTTCATTCCATACTGAACAAGCTCTCTACATATCTCGGCACCAATGCCACTGGACGCGCCAGTGACTAATACGACCCGACCACTCCATCGCTCCATTCTAGTAGAATATCAGAAATTCAGCAAGGTTATTTTATTTAACATAAATAAAGCAATTTCAGTAATGTCCTAGATGTTCAAGGTCATTAAAAATAATTCTTTGCTTCAATATTAAATTAACGTCTTTGTAACCACGAAAAGTAATAATAATTATAACATAAGAAAACATATACAAACCTTACTTTGCTAACGAAATTTCTACATTGGTGAAAACAGCAATTTAAATACTTCAACATTATTTACTCAGTTTGCTGCCAATCATTGATAAGAAATGATATGGAGTTCACGTGATATTTCAAGAAAGCATTTTTATTCGTCGACTGATAGCGGCCAATTGACTTAATACTTTCATCTTATTTTGTTTTACAGATGGTTTTCAATAGATGCACAGTAAGATAAAGACCTGCTTTCTGAAATTAATTCACTATATGTTCTTAGTAGACCTCAGTGCTGTTTACGCCAAATGTTATCGGGCCACAACGAGCTTGATTTAAAAAATCTTGAAATTTATACAATGTATTTTTACAAAGATATTTATGAAATGCAATTTATAGAATGCTACTAAAAGAAGAAGTATTTTTGGCTTCCGTAAAAATTCAAATTGAAGCATTCTGTGTAAACACTTGGCTATTGATGGATTTTGGTATTAACATAAAATTAAAATACCAACAATTACAAGAAAAATACAAGTATAATAGGCGATTAGTTTAATGAAATAATGGCCAAATAGTAAAATAATTTCCAATAAATGCTTTCAAATTAAAAATATATTTCTGCTATGTTCTTAGGCTTATGATGGTTATTCCTGTCATACACATGCATGTAGTGTATAAAGTATGTAAAGCACCTGTATGTAAAGCATTTATACTGTATGATTATCGTGTTGTAAGAATCAATAAAAGTACACAAGGAAATGAAAACAGATTATCTGCAAAGCACATAAACAAATATTGTAAAGAGAATAGGAAAGCATAAAAAATAAAAAGAAACTCAAAAATAAAATTAAATCAAAACAATAAATATTAACAGGAGCCAAATACCTATTTCCCCCCCCCGTTAAATCATCAGTAAGTATATATCTGAAATTACATTTTATTCAGTTATGTGCTTTTTTTTCTATTAATATCCTTTGTTATATCACACTAATTAAGAAAACAGAAAAGGCGATAATGCTTTTTGAATAGGCAGAGACAAATAAAGGCAATCCAACGATGCAATTGCAGTATTCTTTCAGGGGTCATAAGTGAGGAGGGAAAAGCACATTCGTGAGGAGTTTGGAGCACTTAAATACAGAGATTTAGACTTAGGTGTAAATTTCTTATTTAAAGGGCCTCCGAGTTTCCGGTAAGTTAAGCTAAAAACATGGATTAATCTTAGGATAGAGATGTATAGTAGGTAAATACTGAGCTTAAGTGAGAGAACAATAGCAGAACTACTTAGCTTTGTCAGGACTTTAACTGATTTCACTTTAAACGTAATCAAAATCACTCCAGAATAATGGAAGCAAAAACGATTGCTAATCCAATATTCATCTGACTTTCTGAAATTAATGGTAAGTACGTTCTTCGCGCTCAACATCCAGAAAATGAAATCAACCTCGCGCCCATAAACTTTGAGTGCTGTGTCACTGAGTGACCAAGCACGTTTTGCAAGTAACCTTAGCATGGAAAAATAATTCCTGTAAAATCTACTTTTTATTATAAATAAAAAATAAGTTTTAATTAATTAAATTAATTGAATAAATAAAAATCTGAAATGTTTCAGATTTTAAATTACGTCCAAAGGGGCGTTTTTTTAACATTTTGTGTGTTACCCTTTATTAAATATCATGTTCCTCGCACTTAAACCATAAGATCCAGTTGCAACAGCAATATCGCAAAATAGTTTTAAAACGAGCATATCTTTAGAATTTCCGATACAGAGACTCACGCGCTGGAGATAAAAATGTTTTTCTGGCACACGTTTGCCATTGCTCGCTTTGAAATCCTTGAGTTTTGTTAATAAAAAATTCGTCAAAGTTTTAAAAAATAGGAAATCGATCATAAACAAATTTCAAATTTCAAATTTGGTCTTCCACATGCTCATATTCGTTGGAGATTACGTTATTCAAAATTCGATGACTCTATGTTACCGTTGTTTTATCACAATACGAGAAATATACATAAATTTATGCAGATTTTTCATTATTTAATTTCTTCAAAATATATGCAGGACTCTAACATTTTGTGGCAACAGTTTGAAAAGTGAACCGACATTTATGAGTCCAACGCAAAATGCCAAAACGAAACTAATAGTCCTTCGGGATTCAAATCCGTTTGGACTAATAAGTTAACGTGCAATATTAGTAATATTGATTATATATACGTATTTAATTTATTTTCGCGTAATAATGAATTAAAAAACTTTAGAAACTAAATGGCAGTACCTAGTACATCTTATTACCCCCATATTACCACTTAATACCACCCTTCTTTACAGTCAGTTGCTTTGACTTGACGTCCTATTGATACATTTTCATCACATTACATTTGTGACCGCGATATAACGCAATAGAGATTTCATTTTGTGATGTAAATGTGAATGTCGTACGGATGTTGCATACACATCCCACCAAACAAATGAGGCCACAAGAAATTTCTGAGTCTCTACTACCCTGACCTTGCTCATGTAATTCCTCTTTAATGGGAAGTATTCCTGGCGCTCACCTTGCGCCCCCCCGATTCATTGTTAAATGTTTCAATAAATCTTTCGAAATAAATTTTTTTTATGCTAATAGCTTATGATTTTAGTTATTTCTTTTTTTATTAAAAAAATTGATAGTTTATTGCTTGTTTTTTTTTGTGTGATACTAAGAAATCTTGGAACTTTGCTCTGTGATGAATTTATACACATTCTACCGTACCTAGTGTACTAGTATACACATTCTACCGTACCTAGTGTTATCAAGAGAGACTGATCAGAGCTTAGCATAGAGTTTTTTCTATTGAGGATTTTCGAGACAATTGTTTAAGTTCTGTTCCTTCTGTTAGCTGAATATCTCATTACTGCTAAATTTTCAGGTAAGCACTGTTTATTGGATATTGATGTGAATGATGCCAGTAATAATTAATCTCTATATATAATAAAAGGAAAAGTCTGTCTGTGTGTGTGTGTCTTCCGTTCGTGCTGCGCATAAGCTAATAGACCCAGGGATACGAAATTTGGTACAAAAGTGAATCTAGACAAGAGCCAGTGCACCTAGAAGCGATTTTTTCCAAATTCGAATGAGATTTTGTTTTAATTTATGTTTCTTGATGAAATTGCATCAAATCGATTATTCTCACTCATTAAACCAGCAACACTGGCACGCAGCCATTGTTGCTGATATACCACTCTTTCCATTGTCGCTGATATCAGCACTGTTGCCACTCGGAAAAATCAAAGTAATCGTGCCATTATTGCTGATATATCATTGATGTCATTGCTGCTGATATCAGCACTGTTGCCACTCGGAAAAAGAAAGGTGCTAATTCTTTTCAGTTTTTAAATTTAATATTTCTCTTGGATACTAGACGTTGTCCAGATAAACCAACAGGACGTTGGTTAATTTATTTATTAGGATAATTAATATTTGCTTTAAGGCACATTGCTTATTTCATTGTAATTTCGTATATGTAATACATTTTATTGAAATTTGTGGGTTTTTTGTTTTTGTTCTGTAGAATAAAATTCTGTGCAGTTTTTAAATTTAATGTTTGGTGTTCCCTTTAAGCATTTTCCCTGTACATTTAAAAGCCAGACGAAGGCTTGCTGTGTAGCAGCAAGTATATAATAATAAAAGTGTAATTTTTAAAGCTATGAACAAAAAAGAAATAATGAATTGACAAACGATTCACATTTATTTGCATTATCAAATTGCCGAAGGGCATTAGCAAAAGTTTACTCTCATTTTTATCTCATTGCTTAATAATACAACTTAGTGACCAGTTTTATTTGGTAAATATAATTCAATTTCTGTTGCTTTTCCCATTAAAAAGAAAATGTGAAAAAACTTATTTTATTATTTTATTGCGGCACTTTACATAGTGCTCTGCTAATTTTCAAATTCAACTTTCATAAATTAATTAATTACTTCCTTACGTGGTACTTTGCGTCACATATAAATGATGCTATACTTCCACAACTAGGTTCTAGTTATATATAATAAGATTTTTAGTTATTATGATTTTACAAATGGCGTATTACTTTACAATGCTGAAGTTTTCATATGTTTCCTTTATGTAAAAGTCTGAGATTATTTATAAAAGTTATTGTACTATATATTGTTTTTTACAGATCTTTTCCTTCCGTAAATTTAGTCACGGTTTTGCATATAATATATTAAAGTTGTATTATTAGGTTAGGTCATTTGAATATGGCAAAACGCACAAGGGCTGCCTACCTAAGAGGAGGGACGTCTTTGTTGAGGACATTTCAGGGAAAACTGGCTCTTATTCCCGTTATATAACATTACAATTAGATTCAGGAAACGTTATAAACCATTACCATTAGATTACAAACCATAAGGTTAAGAAAACCACGAAAACCAACCATGCAAAAGTACTCACTTGAAAGAGTAAGGGAATATAATTATGGTATCAAATTTTTAAACAGGTAATTGATTATTTAAATGATGACAAACTAAAAATACGAAAATTATATTTCTTTAGTACTTATATATGAAGGAATTAAAAACCTCACTTGTAACAAAAAAATGTAAATTAATACTAATTCGTGTCCAAAAGTACAAGTTACTTCATTTTATAGAGAAATATAATTTAAAACTGTATTTTAACAGTATTTAATCCATTGTAAAAAGTTTAATAAGTGTAATGAAAATCACTATAAATCGAAATGTTTATTTAAGTAACACCGGCAAACTTTATTCGAAATAATAATTTTATTTTAAATAGACGTACTTCACATCTGCAAAAAAGATACTTTATTTTGTTATTAGAAATGTGGAAATTACATCTAGCCTTCTAATTACGTCTAGTTATTAAAGGCAATTATCTAACCTAGTAACATCTAGAATTTTTTTGACGTATTATTTTCAAAAATGGACAGTGAAAAGATTAATTTCAGCAATCGTTTTTAATAAACTTAGGACCGTTAAAAAAGGCTTCTTTCCCAAAAAGATTTAAAAATTTCACTGTAACTTGGAAATTTGCATATTATAAAATACTAATTCATAAAAACGAAGCATTTGCCACCATCCAGAGGAAGAAATACTGATTTTAAGGCAAAATGTAATTTCACGGAATTCTTTTTATTGAGACAGACCTCATGTTATTTGCCGCATTCAAAGAACAAATAA